TCATACCTTGAGTCTCACCCCTATTTCCTTTAGATGAGACTATGAACTTTAGACAAGTTTGTGCTAGAATGAGTTATGAATTTTGGGATTATTAGGATAGAATGAATGTATTTTACATGGAAGAAGGGCATGCATTTTGAGGGTCAGGGCAGAATGTTATTGTCTTAATATGTCCCCCACCCTCCAATTCATATGTTGAATCTTAATGGCTAATGTGCAGTCAGGGGCCAGTGGCTCACACCTGTAATCCCAGCACTTTGGGAGGCCGAGGCGGGCAGATCACCTGAGGTCAGGAGTCAAGCCCAGCCTGGCCAACATGGTGAAACCCCATCCCTACTAAAAATACAAAAATTAGCCAGGCAAAATTAGCCAGGCATGGCAGCAGGCACCTGTAATCCCAGCTACTCGCAAGGCTGAGGCAGGAGAATTGCTTGAACCAGGAGGTGGAGGTTATAGTGAGCTGAGATGGTGCCACTGCACTCAAGCATGGGCAACAGAGCAAGACTCTGTCTCTAAAAAAAAAAAAAAAATCAAAGAATAATTTAAAAAATCAAAAATTTTTGTTTTTTTTTGTTTTTGAAATTAACAAGATTGATAAACTTCCCCTAGGGTGCAGGGATACAGCTTAAAGCCAGGAATTGGGCAAAGCATGATGCACAGCTCTGTGGGGCCCTGTGCCACCACTGCTGGCTGCACTAGCATTGTTGGGCATGGTACAGTCATGGGCAATGGCAGGTGACAGCTTCAAGCCCACACCTGCAACCTGCAACAAGGAAGCACCAGCACAACCCCATCCCCGAAACCTCTACTACAAGCTGGTAGGGACCTCAACCAGACAATCCTGACCTTTCAATCCTGCCTCCTCTGGGTGCCAGCGTTGTTGACCTCAAAACCTTAACAACTAAGGTAAGCTGTACTTGCTCCACTCTATAAATTTTATTAAAGGCACCATGTCCCTGACTGGGGGAACCTTAAGGAAGTCTAAAACAAATGACCTCCAGATATAAGTTTCACTCAAAGAAGTTAACCCTATTACTTGCATGTGCACAAGACCAGAAGGATGACAGATCTTTGCCCTTTGCTTCATTATAATACCATTTCTCCACCCAAAGAAGTGTTCATCTTCCATTTTCTAATCATGTGATATATGTGTTTAGCATGACTCCTTACTACTCTTGTGCACCCTGTATTCCATCCCATCATGTTGTAAAGCTCACTTACCTCATGAAGTATATATATCATCTCCTTAAGGCACCACAATGTACTCCCCTTGGGGAGGCAGCCAGATAACTTTAACTCCAGTGCTGGCTCCCTTGTATTTGGAGAAAAATCCTTTAAAAAAGCCTTGACTGGGAAACATGCTGGATCTCGTGTCAATTTCCATTACATGAGAGTCTAAGAACCTGTGGTCTGTAACAGTACTATGGTTTGAATATTTGTGTCCCCTCCAAAATTCATGTTAAAACTTAGTACTCAATGCAACAATATTAAGAGTCGAAGCCTTTAGGAATTGATTAGACCATGAGGGCTATGTCCTCATGAGTTGTATTAGTGCCTTATAAAGGGGCTTGAGAAGATGAGTTCATCCTGCCACCCTATTTTGCCCTTGTGTCTCTCCTGCTATGTGAAGTCACAGTGTTAATCTTCTTCAGATGTTGCAGCAACATGCAATCTTGGAAGCAGAGAGCAGCTTTTGCCAGACAACCAAACCCATAGGCACCTTGATCTTGGACTTGCTAGCTTCCAGAAGTATGAGAAATACATTTACGTTCTTTACAAGTTATCCAGTCTCAGGTATTTTGTTACAGCATGACAAATGGACCAAGGGAAGAAAGAATGGTGTGGATCTATACAGGACAGCAACAAGGAAGCATAATAGATAATATAGTCTGATAGTAATAGATTCAAAAGTGAGGGCTCTTAGGGAGAAAGGAGGGATAATGATGTAAGAAGGGACAATTGGAAGCTGCAGCGACACAGAGGAAATAATAAGGGCACTAAAGAGATTATAGAGGAGATAGTAAGAGATGATAAGAAATTTTCGGCCTAACTCGTCAATAGCAATAATAGCAATAATGTCTCATCTTTTAAAGTTTTAATTTATTTGATTACATTTTCTTGATTTTTTTATGTGTAGGTAACAGCATAATTAATTGTGGACTTCATTTGTTCTCACTGAATTTCCACTCGTCCAATTCATGGAGGGTTCCTTTGTCTTAGTTGGATAGAGAGGTTACATAGTAGAACCTAAAGCAAAAGTTTTCTGAAAATCTCCTGCTAGATTTTATTTTGCACATTAGGCCATTCTTAAAGGATAAGGAAAAGAGGTAAATGCATTATGTATTGAATGGAGTGGTACAGAAATACAAGAGCCTCGGGTAGAGAAGATTCACTAGCATGGGAAAGGATAGTAGAAACTATGGTTTTTAAAGCATCAGGAGCCCATGCCCATTCAGCACCAATGAAAGTAGTGGGACAATAGTGAATATAACCATAGATGTCTGGGCTCCCTGTATTGACAAATATTTCCATGGCCACACATGCCTCAGATGCCTCAGTACCACTGTAAGACTAAATGAGCAATAAATGTATCAATGTAGACAAGTGTAAACTATATGCCAGTAGGGCACCCCTGAATTTTCTGATTCATAAAAGATTCTTGGGATCTTTTGATAACCCTAGTGAATGAAAGAGGAATGATTAAAATTAAATTTCCCCAGACTGGTGGGATGGGTGTTGGAATCAAAATAACTGTATTTGTTTGCTCGGATTCCGCACATTCATTTATGGATCAAATGAAGCCCATACTCTCCCAACTTTTTTACACAATTTAAATTCTACATTATATTTTGTAGAAAACCATTTCCTTTTTCTTGGAGTTCAATTTGCTTTGAACGTCATTCCATTCATTTCCAATTACTTAAACTTGTGAGACTCAACTTTATGGTCTTGCATGCTTGCTTTTTAGACGTTTGGATAGATTATTCCATTTGGTATGCATTTTAGAAGTGCCTACCTACCTGCAAATTAGACAGACTCTTCCAACTGCAAACAAAACATGCCTTTAGGGAATGCTTGATATCTAGCTGCTTATAAAAACATAATTTAAAACTTTGAATGAAAAACTATATTGACAAGCTCTGAAGGCCCTGAGATGTATATCTCAGGATGATGCAACATAAAGTTAATCTTAAGAAAAAGAATCACATTCAAACCAAAAGTCTGCATAAAACAGCCAGTTAAATGGCTTGTTTACTTTCTGTGCTCTTATTTTACTAAACAATGTTTGTCATTACTTATAAGCCTTGTGTAATTACTGAAGGGTTATAGTGGCCCTTATGTGTTGTTTTAAAAGTAAGTAAAATTTAGTAAGAATCAATGTCTATTATTGACCTATCTTTTGTTTGTTTCACTTCAGGTTTGTGGGGTAAAATATTTTGAAATTACCAAAAATAGGTCCTGACATTTTAGTCACCAGACCAGAGCACAGATGATACTTTCATGAAACAACAAACGGATTTCTGAGTTTTAAGTGGTTGTAGATACAATAGCACCAAAGACAATTCAGGAAAAACAAAAAGGGCCCATTTCTGCCCTTCAACTCATGTTTTTATTGAACAATTTCTGTATGTTAAGCACCAAACAGGAGACTTTGACATATGAGGTGGCAAAACTGTAAGAAATGGTTAATCCCAAGTCTTATTTTGTATATATTTACAAAGTAGGGTGTGGACTAGCTTCTGAAAATGTAAATCCATATAGAATCCCTTTTACTCTTTCTTGAACTATTATTTTTAGGTCAGTTGACATGGTTGTGAGCAACATAAAATGTGATATGTGACAATGATTTCTAAAACATGTTTGACTTTAATTCATTAGCTGCCACCATTCAGTTTTTGGAATTAAAAAGTAGCCACACTCCTGAGTATTCTTAAATCAGGGGTAAAGGCTCTATTATTTTTTTCAAAAAATGCTATTATATCAGATGAAAATTAGTGTTAAAAAAGGATTCAGTCAATGTATTTGCAGCATGGAAGTCCTTAGACCCCACTGCTCATGTTGTGAGTGATAAAATTACTAATAATGAATGACTAATGACTTCTAGTCAAGACCTATCCTGTCCCCATGCTTTGGTAAAGATCCCCCAGAATAATGCCTTCTCTCAGCATTAGGGACTCACCCTGTCCGAGCTAATTACAATTTGTGATGATAATTCTATTCCTTTGCTCCTAACACTGTCCCTTAAAGTTGAGGTCAGCATACCCTTTAATCAAGTTGAGTAAAACAACTTGATTGTCATGAAACATTTTGAATTCAGCCTTTAACATCCTCGACAAGCATGATGTGTTCAGGTAGCCCAGCTCCAGAATACCTGGCCACACATGCCAAATTAGGACAATACCCCGTAGGCTGTAAGGAGTAAATCTGATGAACACCTCTCCAAAATGTCCCAAGATGGCAGGATGTGCATGAGACTATGCTTTTAACACTCCACTGCTGAGACCTGCTGAGGGAAGTTCTGTTCTTCTGGTCCTAAAGAAAGGACTAAGCTTCTTTGAAAACTTGCCATGATTACTCCGTCTTCTGTATTCCACCATCAGCCTGCACTAAACCCCTTCTTAAATGAAATATACTCTCTGGATAGAGTTCTTCACCTTTCCTCTCCTCTGGACTTGAAAATACTGGGGTGGGACGGGAGGGAAGGCAACATTGGAACTTGCTTGAGTCTTACCCATACCATGTGAATCTGTGCTCATATGTAAAGTCTTATATATTTAGAGGAAAATTATTCAAATTCCAATTTCACCACTACAGCCAAAAAGTATTTTTTAATCAGATTAATATATCCCTCTTTGACCAGAATTCCAAATGCAACAACAAGCTGAATCCCTAATATATTCCAATCAGATCATTATTATATACTTTAAGGAGATGAATATTATTTGAGTAAGTCCTAATTCTATGGCATCACATAAGTATATTTCAATAATGACATCAACTAATGATTTATAAAGTTTTATTTTTCAAGGTTAAACAATGATTCATCTTAGACTTTCTAAGCAAACAATTAGCAGTATTGAAGATTGTTTCCATTTTTTTAGAGTACACATTGAAAACAAATTAATTTGATTTCAGTAGACACATTTGTTAACATAAACTGAAGAGTACTTAAAAGGTCCCATTGAATGCATGTGGGATTATTCCCAGTTTTATGGATACTGTTTCAACTAAATGAATCTTGGCAGAGAACACTTAGTAATTAATGCACCTAGAAACTGATAGCACTAAAATAGTAAAACTTATGCATTCCAATGTTTATGTGTATATATGTGTAGGTGCATGTGATTCTGCTTTGCCTGTTTTACTACCTTAATGATTATCCTTTCTTACTGTGTCCTCTGGGGATCTTACCCTACTTCTATCGACAATCACTCAGAAATTTTCTTACAAGCCCTTTTATCCATCATTTTCTAGTTTTCAGATATTTCCAACAATGGCTTTTATTTTAGACAAGGGCTCGTTGAAAAACAAAATTATACAAAAATAAAACCATACCTTATCCCTACTGCTGCTCATGACCTGCCATAATGCTCATGGTTCAAATCACAAGGCTAGGGAAATTGTCTACTCAGGAGCCTTCCTTCTGCACATCCTTGATGGGCTAGGGCTTCCAGATGCTGCTGCTACAAGGTAATGTATAGATATAGTTTCTTCGGTCTCTTACAAAATAAACTGACCACAAAATACCGTTGTCCCTTCACTTTCTTGTTTCAGCTGGCAAAGGATGTAAAAATTCCAGATGGATTTACATCTAAATCAGCAATATTCATTATTTATGAGCCACTTTAAATATTTTCCTTTCTTTATTAACACTTTATCCCTTAAAGCTCAGTTTATCATTTGAAATCTCTCTTGCTTGGTTACTTTGGGACATCTTTGTAGATTCAGTTCACTTTTGCTTATTTTTACTGGAATAATTGCCACAGAGCACAATGGGAGTTGACTTCCTAAAATAGTTTTCTGCCTTACTGTATTAAAATATGATTTTAAGATAAAACTTAATTTTAAGCTTAACTTTGAGTAAATATTATGAAAAAATGGATTAAAAGACTTGATTCTACACACTACTTATATGAGAAAATTTTCTGAAATTAAAACATAGCAAGCTCCATTTGCTCAGTGATGAGGTTCTTGCACAAAGTTCCCCACGGCCTTTTGGTGTACAAATTTATAATAATGAAGACTACTTCTAGAAAAAAATTGACATGAAAGTTTGTTTTTTAAAAAACTACTGAATGAAAAAAGTTGTTTGAGTTGTAAACACTCAAGGATAAGCCAGTTTTAGGATCACATTATTGTGTCACAGTAAAAGAAATGTGAGTCACATTTATTTCCTTAGTTCGTGGATTCAGGCTTTCCTAAATTCTCAATAATGAGCTACTACACTCTTGATACAAACTTCTAACAACTTTGTATCAAGAGTGTAGTAGCTCATTATTGAGAATATCCAAATCTTCATTTCTGGCACTAAGTGCCAAGAAATGTGCTATTATGAAATCACACAGTCAGCTGCTTTTGAATTTTGGTTAATCAGGTAGTTTGAAAATTATCATCCCACTAGCACTGTCCTCAGATTTTAGAAGCAGAACTAGAGGAATTAAATTGAGGTATACTTTGTGGCAGTTCTGTTGCTTTTCTATTGCCACAGAACTAACCATGGTATTGAGGATGGATATGCAGAAATTATACTCTTCATCAGGTAGCAGTTACCATAGGTGACCAAACATCACCAGTCTATGGCGTCTATAACATATTTGGGTGATGGATTAGCATAACTTTCACTACTCTAATTTTGCAGACTTATAAATATGGTGAAAGTTGTATATTTTTGAAATGTTTTCTTTTTTTCTTTTAACCTTTAAGTCTTTACGTATGAACTTATCACTGAATATTTTTAGATTAATTTCTAATTTTACAAAAACAGAAACATGAAAAACACAGATATTAGCAAAGTTTCTTCATTGTTTTGTTTCGTTCCTTTTGTTTAATATGAAGGAACGAAGCTTTTGTGTGGTCTAATCTTGGATTGGGCAAATATTTGATGCTGTCTGATAGTCATACTTTTGGCCAGATAACTTTTATAAATCAATCTATCTGCTTTGGGGAATAGAATTTGACCCCTACCTTAAGGCATTTAAAAAAAAACTCGTTCTACAGTACATGTGTATAGGAGTTTAGTCCTGTGTTCAGGCTCACAAGTGTATTATTTGGTGGTTTGTAACAACAGCTATTGCACATCTTTTGGGGGTTCTGAGAAAAAACAAGCATCTAGGGGCTTTCTTCCTTTCTTCTTCTCAGGAACAAAACAGCTTAAAAACGGGTGAAAAGAACACAACTGGTCTTTAGCTGTAGGCTTAATTGTTATGAATCAGTGAGCAAAAGGGTGGTGGCCTTTTCCCCTTTATCACCATAGTTTTCTCTGGGCATGCAGGTTGTTCAACCTTAGTCTGGGTTATTACAGTCTTTAAGATTTTTGTTTCTTGACCAAATCTTTGGTTCTTTAAATAACTTTGGAAAAATCACATACAGTCTGTCGATGTTTTTCTTTTTCTGAAAAATCTTATCCCAGGGCCAATTCTTTTGAAGGCTGCTTGTAATCTAATTCATAACAGGTTTCTTTACCCCATGTTGTGAAATATTAATACAGATACTGTCCAAACTGTCCAAAGAGTAATGTTTGAATTCACAGTAACAAAAGTTACAAAGTTTGTGCAAAAGATATTGTACACCATTGGAGTACATAGAGCTTGCTATAGTTAATTTTATACATAAAGCTGCATTTCTCATTCAAACTATTCTGTGTTACATTAAAAGTTAAGTTTGGGATTTAATTTTTACTAAAAATAAAACTGAATGCTCATTTGATCTCTGAAATCTGAAGATGCAGTCTGCCTATACATGATGCTTGTAATGTTGTAAGAAATCACTGGAAACTTTTAGACACTGTAATTGCTTTGGAGCTCTTCAAGTTTTCCAAGTGTCATGAAGTAAACCCGGCTGTGGCGATTGCGCAGGGTAGAGGTAAAGAACAGCTTGAAAAATAAAGAAAGACACTGTCAATAGATACTTAATATATTGCAACCAGATATTTGATATAACTGTAATTTCAAATTATCTGCACCTGCTAATTAAAATATTAAGCCTTACTGTTTTGTGGAACAGTTTGTTTTTCAAATTAAAGAATAAGAGTTTAAATTAATTTAGAGTCTAAATTATATGTTTTTAAAACAACCTTTTACTATAGTCTACATAGTTATAATTTATATGGTCAAATAAAATTAATATTTTTGTAGGTGGCCTTCATTTGCTGAAGTTCTTGATTATTTTGGGGGAATAATTATTTGCTTTTTACAACAATAATCTACTTATATTCAAGTTGGCTTATTTTTAAATATAAGGAAACAAATTATTTAGGTGTTGTTTACCATTGCTGCTTGCATTTAAGAAGACATTGAAATTTTCTACTTGGTGCAATTTTCTTTTTTTTTTTCTTTTTATAATTTTTTAAAATTAAAAAAATTAATAGAAAATATGTTTTTATCACATACAAAATGATGTTTTGAACTGTATATACACTGTGGAATTGTTAAATCTAGTTAATTAACAAATACATCACCTCACATGGTTATCATTTTTATGGTGAGAGCACATAATATGCACTCATGCAATTTTCTATTTCAGCAAAATGGACTGATATCAATAGATTGATAAAATGAATTAAACCCAGTGGCTTAGAGAGGGACATGTGTAAATGTGGGCTGTGCCATAAAGAAAATGAGAAAAAAATGCAGATAAATATCAAACAAAGTCCTCCTTGTTAGGACTAAGGATTTTGACATCCACAGTGGCTATACTTATGAAACTTTGTGACATAATGATGTTGATAAGATACACTGGGTGTGACAAAGGGAGGCAGGGAGTCTCTAATTTGTAATACTGTGAAATTACAGTGTATGTAACCGTACATGTTGCTTGATAAAATAAAATATCTGAAATTATTAAAATTTAAATATTAAAAGTATTTATTATTAGACAAAGGCAGCAATCATAGTTACTTTGGTTAATAATCATCAAGAAAATAAATAATATTTAAAAAAATATGTGATTATACTGTGTTAAATAAAATTTGAAATGCTCTTGCTTCACTCTTCTAAGATCTGTTTTATATCTAATTAAATAAAAGTCTTCATAAACCTTTACAGAGTTTCACTGTGGCCCTACAGTTGAGGGGGATGCAGGACTTTAGGTATATATGAAAACAGTGTTTTAAATTTCATAGTAAATAAATGTTATCTCGAAATAAAGAGACATCATTGTAAATGTTTTAAAAGATATGCCAGTTACCCTTGACTTAACATATTTGGTGTTCCACACAATTTGTGATATGCTTTATATATTATCACTAGTTGTCACAATTGTTCCCAAAGCATTTATTGATATTTCTGTTTTGGAGATGAAGGAACTAAGGATCAGAAAGATTAATCAAACTTCTCAGGTTCTCTAACCTAGTTAGCTCCGTTAGAGCCAGGACTGCATTCTAGGTCTCGATGACCTGAAACACAGGATTTTGCCATTGCATCTCTTTACATTGTAAATTAGCAACTTTGCTTGATGCAGTGCTTTATCCTGGCTGTTCTGATATTAACTAAAATCCTCTGCAATCTCTTCTCAACATGAATGTTTCCTAATCCTATTAGCATTATTTCTTCACACTAGTATTTCCTATAATAGATAGGAATGATAATGATCTTATATAATAAAATTTTCCATCTAAACTATTTGAATTCGTTGTTAAAACTGATCCAATTACATATATAATTGCCAAATCTTGATTTTATTTTTCTTTTCTGCAAAATAAACATTGTAACTCCCACTTGTGAAGATAAGCTGAGATAGCTGTTAATGGCCTATGATACAATTAGGTGCTCAGCAAACCTAAGTACATTTTCCTTCTGTTATTGAATTATGCAGAAAGCTATAAAAGGTAGATTTGTTCAAGCATTTTGTTTAAAATACCATTTTAATATGAACATGAAAGGCACTATGAATCAAAGACAATAAAGGATTTTGAACCAAATAAAATAATGGCTAAGGTTCGCTTAAGACATTACTAGAATTTTTTCTTATTTTTTCAAAATGGGCTTCTTTTGAAACCAAATTTAATCACTTACCAAGTTACTGCAAAATATAAAATTGTTTTTATAAATAGCATGCCAATTTGAAAAACATAGCACAAGTATATTTATAGCCAGAAGGAAAAGGACAGATATTTATTTTATTAGTTCATTTTCAATGGTTGGTCTATTTTTGCTTTAACTGGAGGCTGTAAGCTATACCTTGTCACCCCGGGTACACAGGAATCTCAGCTTCTTAATTGACCTGCGCTTCAGCTCACTTTCCAGGACCCTGGATTGCGAGGAGCGCACTTCAATGGCCTTTTGGCCCCATCCTGTGGTTCGCTGTGTACACTCAAAAGCTAAAATACAAATGAAAAAAATCAGAGAAACACAAAATCTTTCCAGCAGTCATAGAAAATTATAACTACGGTCAATGTTTGCTTATTAAGAGGTTCATTATTACAGTTTAGGTAAACACATTCTGTTTTGTCCTCCTATAGTCAGTTATTCGACCATTTTGCTGCTCAAGAGCGGTGTTCAAACTGGCACCTTTGTAATCAACATTTAATTGCCAGATCTCAATTATTTAATTGTATTCATATCCCCTAAGATGACATAAAAAGCTAAAGACTAATTCTATCCTGTTTGTAGACATTCTAATCTACTCACAGCCACTCTTTATTTTATAGTCTAAGTGACACACAGTGTTCCTAATAGGGGTGTGCATTTGTGCTCCAGTGACATACATGGAAACCTCTTAAAAATTAAAATTGTTAACAAATGATTTGTTCAAATAAATGACTGTAGCAGCCCTAATTCAATTCAATAAATTTTCATGTTTTAAGAAGAACCAAAGCTAATTTGATATTCTTAATATTCCCTGCTCAGGAAATATTTATCAAGATTTTATCTTTTTTGATTCTATTTTATAGTACTTTGTGACAAATAGACTATGACAATAATTGCCTTAAACCCAATTATGTAAACAGTCAGCCAACTGGTGCTGTAAGGTATTTTTGGCACAGGGAACAGCACTACTATTACATCTTTAGCTGTCAATTTAACATTCTTTATGTACTTCACAGGGAAAAAAATCCACAAGCAAATCAAATCCTGACATTTAAAATAATATCAAGATTTTAAATTCAAATTAAAATAGTCTAGGAAATAGCAAAATAAGGCATCTTTATTCTCATATTAACGTGATTAAAATCAGAATTCAATTAATTACTTTGATTTTTTTTCTATTATAAAAGGAATAAATTCTGCATTGTTATAATTGTATGACAGATATTTTTCAAATTCCTTATCTTTCCTTAAGATTCTAGGATTCCTTTAACACAAAACTTATCTGGCCTATATATGTATACATTAAATATACATAAAAGGACTATTAAGGAATTATTAAACATTTATAGAAGTGACTTTTCATAGGCATAGTGTGAGCCATTTTGAATCCCTGAACTAAAACTTACTGATCATTTATTATTTCCTGCTTTCTTCTACATTACAATTCAAAATATCTAATGTATGAAATTGACCTAAAATGTATAATTAAATTACAATCATATTTTGACTAAGAAAAGTGGCTATGCTGGAAGAAGACTTAATAAGTCAAATTTCAGACTGGAATTAAAATCACTCCAGATATAAAGGAAATAAGGACAATCAGTCTTCAGATGTTTGGGAACAAGTAAGAGATTTAGTCTATCTAAAGTTAAATTTTCTTCACCTTTGTGACTACTTTATTAAAAATGGTATTTTTGTCAACAACAACAACATAGACCAAAAATTCTAAACTTAAAGCACAGGCTATTTGTTGAGTCCAAGCACATGGTTCATATGGCATCGCATAATCTCTACCTTAGTCCCAAAACACCTGCATGTGCCACTTAACCTAGCTACTGAGCTAGCTTGCTTTCTGAGATGGGACACAGTAATTTGGAAGTGGGAACACGATAATACTGGCTGCAATTGTTAAACCTGTATATATTTGTTTGGAAATGGAGAGCAATGATTTGAACACATTTATTATAACTTAAGACAATGTAAAATTTAAATTGGGGAAATCTGGATCTGGATTAGTTTTAAATAACAAAGCAGTTGTTTTTAGACAGAAAAATACAGTAATTGATTTTCTTAATATCAGTGTTATATGGTAGTCTCCAGCATACTCTCAAAATATCCTCAATATAGAAAGTAAAATATCATGTTCTTATAGCACTGTAATTTATTTTACATGTAGCTGTCTTTCAAATTCTAGAAACTTAAAATAGCTTTTTGTTTTAGGTCAGAAGTTGTCCTGCCTGAGGACAAACCTGTACCGGATGACTTCTCAAGATCCCTTTGACTCTTATGATTCTCTACTGGCATAAATATAGGGGTTTGTTCATTTTCCTATTTGAACTGAATTTCCTTATTCCCATTTCTGATTAGCATATGGATCACAAAAGTACCACTGTAAAGGATAGAATGTGAGTCATTACTTTTACTTTCTTTTGCCCCAGATATGTCAATTATACTGTAAGCATTTACCTTCTGTCACTTAAATTGGTTTTAAACCCTCTGTGAGTTCTTTCTTGTTTGAGGAAATTGGAGCAGGTTTTCAAGACAATCTTTAACACTGACTATATACGCAAAAAGAAAGGATTCTGCAGATGCAATGCAAAGTGCCATCATCCCACAAGAAAAATGTTCATTAAAAAGCAGTTCTTTTGAACTGGTCCTTAAAGCCACATGAGGATCATATTTAGTTATAGAGATTACAGAAGCATCTGGCTTCTCATTTGACAGGCCATCTTTCTCTCTCTGTCTCTGTCTCTGTCTCTCTCTCTACACACACACACACACACACACACACACACACACACACTGCTGCCTTTTTCCTTTATTTGCTCCATTAAACTTCTCTTTTCTGTAATAGTAATCCTCCAGCTAATCATTCAATATTTTTACTTTTCGTATGCATTCTGTTCTCTATCTAGAATCATGTCTGGGGTCACTGAGTCTCATAACATATACACGAATCTCAAATTATTTGGATCAGCAGTCCTGCTTTGGTGAGGAAGAAATAAAATGTCCTGGTTTGATGAAGATGAAAAGGCAATTTTCTTTGTTCTACCTGGGTGGCATCTAACAGGCACTCCAGTCAGTGATATCTATCACTTTTCTAAATGATTTGATCATTCACAGGAATATAACTCACAAAATAGAACTCTATTGATTATGCAAAATAGAAGTATTTGGCTCTTCTTTTATACTAGTTGGCAATCTCCTAAGTAAAGATGTACCCCATAATCAGTGTGATAAAAAGAAGCATTTTCAGTATCTGTGTGAAGTCTGCAAGTAAAAGAAGTTAAAACAAAATTACATATTTTTGAGGAAAGGAATTTGCTCTTCTTTCAATTATAGAATATTACAAATAACTCAGATAACCAAAATGAGTCTCTCTGTGGTACTACCATGAATTCATTAAGTATAGGGCAAATACAGGCATTACCTTACTAAGGGAATAAATATGCAGAACCCCAAATTAGTCTTATGTGTCTTAAGAAAATGTAACAATTCAGGAAATATTTTCTTAGACACTTTTTTTCACCCTTGGAAAGTCTCTCTGGGGTCATGAAGAAGGAAATTGTATACATACCTATAGAAGACGGTATGTCTTTCCACATTTCAAGGATCTTCTTGAAGAGCTGTTCATTTGCTTCCACAGAGAGGGCTTCAGCATTGAAGGTGAGCATCATGCCAATTCCCAAGCAATCAGGTAAAATGATGATATTCTGTGGTATAATGATTTCCAGGGGCTGGAATTATGTTTCATAAAGATTTATATGTCCAATATTTTATTACTACTACTTTAATCGAAGCAGCTTGGCTGGGCAATAAAGACCAAAAGAGGTTCAAAGAGCAAGGAGGAAGAGAAACCTCTACTTCCAAATTAATAAGCATGCCATCCAGTATTTGAAAAGAGCTGCTTTCTTTATGTCATAAAGCCATAACTTTTAAATATTTTTCTTGATATTTAGGAGAAAGCCTTATATTTAAAAAGCAAAGATGTATTTCCTACACAGAGTTTTTGACATTTCACAAAATATTGTGTATCATGATAGAAGAAATATTTCTTGCTACAGATGGGTTTAAGATTAATTTCAGCACATTAATAAATAGTTCAGTAATGAGTGTATAAACCAAATAACAAATATAGAATACTTGCTTATCAGCTAACTCATTCAAATTAGAAATAGGAAACTAATCTAAAAAATAGCTTGAGCTTAAAATGCTTACAAGGGACAGCTTTATAATAGTCTTCACAGCTTGAAATATAACTTTAAGTCATTTCCCCCTTTGCAAAAATTTAGAATTTCTTTTTCAATTAATATAATTTAATACGTATTTACCATACATATTCAAACACATATTTGGTGACATAATATGAAATACTAAGAAATATCTAAGCCTTTTGGAATTTCATGATGCACAAAACAATGCAACAAAGTTTTCTTAAACTACAAATACTGTCACATTAACAGTATTTCCCTTCAAATAAAAAATTGTGTTCCCCTACGGTTTCTCCAAACTAGTACCAAAAAAAAAAGGTCAGAAACTATACTTGCCAAACCCAGCGTACTCAGGCCAGGTACTTGAGGCCGTGTCTCAGCAACAACAATCCTTATAACTAAAACGGGGATCCAGAGGCGAAAAGCAATTTTAATGCGTTCCCTGGGCACTTGCATCAGTAATTGAATCAGAAAAAAGATAAAGGAAGATAATAAAATAAATTGCAGGAAAGAAGATTGTCTCAATAAAATCTCTTTAGAAAAAAACTAGACCACTGCAAATCCAGACAGCCTCAGATGCTTCTCAGATGATTCCTGGAGTGACCAGATATTTTTTAGCACACATGGTTCCCTTGTAGCATTACAGCTTTTGTAACCTAGTACTCTTAGAAAAATATTATGTTCAGTACATTCTTTCTGAGAAGACACCTGCTCCCTGATATTAGAGTCCTTTCTCTTTTAATGGGTCAAGACACTAGAGCATTTCGCTAAAAATATTTTTGAATACACACAAGGTATCCTAACTGGGTCAGAAAGTGATTTTTAAGAACTCATCTCTCATTCCAGCTTCCACAGTAACTAGAAAATTGCTTCAAAAATAACTTTTCTTGCTTGTTAATCATGTGAAACACAGGGGTCAACATTCCTAAATTACTTTTCAAATAAGTGTAAACGTGGACAAATGCTGCAATGTTCAATACTGCACTAACTTCTTAATAAGAGCTATGTGATTCAACATAAAAGAAGATGCAGGAAGCTATGGAAACACTCCAACTGAAGAGTACAAGAATAGCTATATCAAAATTAACCTGACCTCATGTCTAAGTGACTTTGGTTAAGATTGGTTCAGTATTTTCTGCATGATTATATAGAAATCACACAGTAGCAATGTGATTTCTATATAATCATGGGCAACTGAGTAATAAGCTGATTATCTTTAATATGACCAAAAGACTTTAAAAACTGTCATTGGTATACCTGTGTAACAATCCTGCATGATCCCCACACATACCCCAGAACTTAAAGTATAATAAAAAAAGTCCCCACTAATGTCCTGACAATTGGTTTATGTAATTTGTTAGAGATATAATGAGACAATTCTGAGAGTTGTTCAAAATATCACTCAATTGTAATTTAAAAGTACATCAAAGGTTTCTCCTGGACTTTTTGTATAATGCTAAAGTGCTAAAATTTTGGTTGTCTACGAATTAGGAATTTAAATAAAGTGAAGCAGAGAACTGTTAGTTTAGGCCTTCCTTTTAAATAAAAAATTCAATAGGACAAACATCATTGCCAACATCAAATTTGAGACACAGTAGAATTACATTTTGTATGGTGTGTGTGAGGGATATTACATTATGTTCAAACTCTTCATGTAAATGATGTGTATAATATTTTTACAACAATCCATATTTTAGATGTGCCATATTATCACAAAATATAATTATTTAAGACTTGAGTATCTGCTTTTAAAATGCTGAATTTCTGATCAGAAATTCCAATTATAATTAACTATAAGAGAACATTTTATGATAATATGCTGTTATGTCACAGTTGAAGTAATATAATAAAGAATAGGGATGCACATAATAATGCTGCAATATTGGTATTGTATTTTTAAAGTATCTATTAATGCATTGTGGAGTACAGAAAATCTAAAGCATGTACTAAAAAATCAAATGCATTTTAGGGTCAGTTATTATAAATATATAAACATAAATGCAGAGCATATATCCCATCTAAAAGGAGCCATACATGAATCAATTCCAATTGATAATGGCTAGATAGTCATGTGGCACTGATGCTGTCAGGCCTTCTGATGTATCAAGAGAAGTCTAGGTTTTAAGGGTAAATGTTATTCATTACCAAAAAAGAAAAGAAAACACTGGGCAAGAAAAGCAATATCTATCTGCATAATATACTCAGCTTTCTAAACTAAGGAATCATCAGTGTTTTTTGCTTATGCAAGCCCACTTTCTGGTACTCTATACTTACCTTTTATGTCTCAGTTCCAGTATAGACATTGCTAATCGTAGTTTTAAACCTTTCAGAATTTTGTCAGTTGGAAAAATTCAAATGGTGGTATGCAATAATTTCTAGGAATTTGAAGGTATTATCTTACATTATTTGGCAGGGTCACATCAGACAAAACCTCAGATTCTGCATCGATGATGTGATATCCGTCTGCTGAGCTGAAGAAAACCTTTAGTCTTTTTTCAGAACCAATAGCCAGGTCAACTGTCACTGGCTTATGACCAAGTGTTGGAAATACCTGTGAATATAAAACCAAATAAGGCCAAAAGGCCAAAAATGACATTCTAACTAAGGCAAAAATTCCCTCACTTTTTTGTCAGGTATATAAGTGTACAAAACCCAGGTGGATATTTTAAATGGCATGTTGTATTTAGAGACCCGTGTATTACAGTTTTTCTTAGATCTGTTATTATAACAAAGAAATAATTATGTTCAATAGCTTCAAAATATTGAGTTTCTCTTCAATGGTCAGATTGGCAATGATCATAAGAGCCTTGTATGGCCCTGCATTCTGTTTGCTGTCTTCAAGTTCCTTGCCTTGAGCTTCAGCAAATGAAGGAGCTCATCTGGTCTCTTAAACCGGTTCGCTGGATCAGCTGCCTGTATTTTTGCCAGTATTCGTATATAGGCTTCATAGGACATGTAGTCTCCTTCAGAGTCTGCTGATTGATCAGTGCATACTTGGTAGGGAATGAAAAGGGCCAGACATATTAACCTACTATACACTGGGTAGTACTCTAGGCTCCTATGGTTTCTAGTCTAAAACAAAAGGCCAAACAGGATTCATTGCCAAGATCAGATCATGGTACAGAACTGAGCATCACAGGATTCATCATACTGTAGTTGTGAGGTTGGATTCAAGAACTGCAATGAGGACTTGGACAAAAATTGTGCATCAGGCTAGACAGACTGTTGGTACTTATTTCTTCGCCTTCCAGCTCCATACCAGGCAGCTCTGACCAATCAGCAGACACCCAAGAGTAAACTCACATCCAAATACTGACAGCTGACCCAAGGCCCAATTTAGGGAGATCAGATCAGGGATGCGATTTGTGTAAGGGCTGACTCAGATTGTATATACAGTCATCTACACTATTTATAGAAGAACATAGCTATTTTGAAAATAGACATTGGCAGGTAGTCATAAGAATTTGCTCATCTTTATTGTATACATGCGATGTGTTCCCTTACAAAATATACCATGTAAACAGATCCTAACTTAAGATACAAAAGCATTTCATGAATACCTTGCTGCATCTATCAAGACAGGTTGCTACCATGTTTTGTTAAAACCTGTCTATGGATCAACTAGTTAAAAATCGCCTGAAACATCTGCTAAAAATACCAGTTCCCAGGCCCTGCTCCAGATCCACTAATTCAGCCTGGCGCTGGGTCTGAGATTTAAACTTTTAACAGATGTTCCAGCTAATTCTGATGTACATTCATTAGAAGCTACTGGACATGACAGAATGCTGCCAGTTCTTTAGTCAACCGTCATATGGAATAAGTACAAATAATTCCATTTAAGTAAAATTCTGGAGCATTATAAGTAAGTTACTCTAGATAAAAATAATCCCCAGTTCTTAAGGTTAGTTGTTTGGAACACTAAATTGTTAACTTATGTGGCTGATTCATAGAAGTTCAGCTAAACCATAATAAAGGTAGAAAGAGTACTGGTAAGCCTAATCACCATGGCTCACAATATTAATAGTTCTAGAGAGAAATGTGTTTAGAGTTCCAGCTTGGAAAGAATATAGACCCAATGAACTCCTTCCCATCCCCACCTACTGTGGCCACGGTACTGGAGCAAAGGCTTTATTTTCCCTCCTTTTTGTCCTAAGGGTGTTCCCTCTCTATAATTGTCACACCTTTCTTTACCTTCCCTCTGCTCTCCACCCCCCAACTAAGAGAGAACAGGGACTTTCTCAGCTTCACGCCATTTGGGTGGCATCCAAAGCCTGTGTTTGGGGCTCTAGAAGAGAAGGTCTTCATGTTGACTACAGGAATTGGGAGTGAGGTGCTGATGAGGCGGTCCTATAAGGGGAGGGGCCAGGGATTTGCCTCGCATTCTCCCTTGCTGTGGTGCTTGTGAATTGCCTAAAAAAGGGTTAACAGTAATTACTGACATGGTATATTCAAGTTACATTAGTAAGACCCCATATCTACAAAAAAAATTAAAAATTAACCAGGTGTGGTGTGTGACAGTAGTCCTAGCTACTTGGAAGGCTGGGAGGTGGGAGGATGGCTTGAGCCCAGGAGAACAAGGCTGCAGTGAGCGATGATCATGCCACTGCACTCTAGCCTGGGCCATAATGATACCCTGTCTCTAAAAAAATAAACAAGCAAGCAAAGTAACAATGAAATGCATTCACTACAGAAAAATGGTATACGCTTCTGCATCTGTATTCGAAAGTATGATTTTTTTCACAATTTCTTCTCAAAATAAAAAATCATATAATCCAAAGGAAAAGGAGATCACTCACTTTAATAGCAGTGCTTTCATCAAAGGACTTCGGTGCCCATGCATAAAGGTGAATTGATGATTTTAAAGCAATTGCAATATATGTTGTTTCTTCATGTTGGACTACAATGATAAAACAGAAAAAAGTAATAATGCCATAGAGTTAACAAGAACACTTAAGTATTTGTATTTATCATAAAAAATGCCATAACCACAATTTAAGGGCACAGACAGTATATTTTTGGGGAAGCTACTTGGTTACAATTTGATGCCCACAAAAAGGTGGCAAGATTACTGTATAGTTTCATGGAGTATACATATTTGCCTTCAAGAGCACTCTAAATTGTACACTGGAAACATTGATGCAAGAAATTAAAGAAGATATAAATAAATGGAATAATTCTCCTGTTCATAGATAGGTAGATTTAACATTGTTGAAATAGCAATACTGTCCAAAATTATCTCCATAGATTCAATGCAATCCCTATTAAAATCCAAATGGCCTTTTAGTAAAGAAATGGAAAAGTTAATCCTAAATTTCACATGGAATCTTGAGAAGCTTCTAATAGCCAAATAATCTTGAAAAAGAAAATCAAAGTTGGAGAACTCACACTTTTCAATTTCAAAGCTTACTACAAGTTACAGTAATCAAAGAAGTATGGCATTAAATAACATAAGGATAGGCATATAGATCAATGGACTAAAATTGGAAGTTGAAAAATAAACCCTTACATCTATGGTCAGTGGTGTTATACCATTCAATAAGGCAATAACAGTCTATGCAAAACATTAAAGTTGGAGCCCAAATCTCACATCATATACAAAATTAACCCCGAAATTGATCAAATACATAAATGTAAAAGCTAAAACAATAAAACTCTTTGAAGTAAACACGGGGATAAGTCTTGATGACCTTGAATATAGCAATGAATTCTTATATTTGACACCAAATTGTAAAGCAAGAAAAGAAAAAAAAAGATAAATTAGGCTTCATCAAAATTAAAATTTTAGGGCGCCAAGGGAAACTACTAAGAAAGTGAAAATACAACCTACGGAATAGGAGAAAATATCTGCAAATCAAATTCTGATGAGAGTCTACGGGCTCTGGTTGGTGGCTCTTGTAATTGCAGCACTTTGGGAGGCCAAGGTGGGTGGATTACTTGAGGTCAGGAGTTTGAAACCAGCCTGGCCAACATGGTGAAACCCCATCTCTACTTAAAATATATATATGGACAAAAATTAGCTGGGTGTGGTGGTGAGCACCTGTAATCCCAGCTACTCTGGAGGCTGAGGCAGGATAATTGCTTGAACCCAGGAGGAGGAGGTTGCAGCGAGCTGAGATTGCTCCACTGCAATCTAGCCTGGATGATAGAGTAAGAGTCTGTCTCAAAAAATAAAATAAAATGAAATAAAAAGAGTCTAGTATATGGAATACTTAAAAAACGCTTATAAGTCAACAGCAGAAGGACATGAGAACCAATTAAAGAACAGGCAAAGGACTTGAATAGACATGTCTCCAAATAGTCGGTAAACATGTAAAGGTACTCAACAACATTAATCGTGTGGGAACTGCAAATTGAAACTTTTATGACATCCCACTTTACACCCATGGGGATGGCTAGAATCAAAAGACAGACATCTACAGGTGCTCAGAAGAATACTGCAAAAGTAGAGCCCTTATATGTTAACTGATAGCAATGCAAAATGGTGTAACCACGTTGAAAAACAGTGTAACAATACTATCCAAGAGAAAAAACCATACATATCCACATACAAAGATGTATGAAATGTTCACAGTAGCATTATTATTTTTTTATTGTACTTTAGGTTCTGGGGTACATGTGCAGATCATGCAGGATTGTTGCATAGATACATACATGGCAAGATGGTTTGCTGCCTTCATCTCCCCCATCACCTATATCTCGTATTTCTCCCCTCCTTATGCCTCCCCACCCTCCCCAACCCTCGCTGTCCCTCCCCTAGCACCCCCCACCTGACCACAGTGTGTGATGCTCCCCTCCCTGTGTCCATATGTTCTAATTGTTCAACATCTGCCTATGAGTGATAATATGTGGCGTTTGGTTTTCTACTCTTGTGTTGGTTTGCTGAGAATGATGGTTTCCAGATTTATCCATGTAGTATTATTTTTAATAGTCAAAAAGTGGAAAGAGTGCAAATGTCCATTAACCTAAGTATGGATAAACAAAATGTGGTATATCCATACAATGCAATACTACTCAGCAATAAAAAGGAATTACTGGTACATGTTATGTATATAATATAACATAGCCAAACCTTGAAAATATTATGCTAAGTAAAAGTCTGTCACAAAACACAACATAATATATGGTTCCATTTGTAGTAATTGTCTAGAAGAGGCAAATCTATAGAGAAAGAAAGTCCTGGGTGACCATTTATCAGTTTACCAATGGTTACCTAGGATTGTAAGGGGAAGAAGGGGAAGTAAAGAAGGATGGAATGGGGGTAACTGTTAATGAATATGGGGTTTCTTTTGGGGATGATAAAAATTACATCATGGTGCTCTACACAACTCTATAGACCTACTAAAACCCATTGAGTTGTGCACTTTAAACAAGTGTATCTCACAGTATGTAAATTATTTTAATAGGGCTATTTTAAAAGATAAATTTAAAAATACAAATAAGTATATGCTTGCTCTTGATTAGGCTTTCTGGTTCTTATAGAATATGTTGTCTTACCTGATAGATTTATACTTAGTGCTAAAACCCCTCTTCCTTGGCTGCAATTTCTTCTGCCAGAACTAGGCATACTTTCTCTCTCTCTCTCTCTCTCTCTCTGTCTCTGGGTCTACCTTACTCTTGCATTTTCTTTTGCATTGCTCCCAAGTAAGTCAAAGGAGCATGATGGTTAAACCCCAAAGATCAAAGGGATTCTCTCTTAAGAAAACACTTCCTATATATTTAATATAGGGCAGTAATTGGTGCCAGTTCACTGTCTTGTGGATCTTGGAAGGCTGTGAAAATGCCAGGCAAATATGATCTTTTCTTGTCTTCCTTATGTGAAGATGCTACTATTCCACCTGTCAGTGAGACAAGTGTTTTTTGCTGTTCTGAGAGCTTAGGTGGACTGGAATGGGGTCAATTAGGAAAATTGAACTTAACTAGTTTACCCCTTACAAAGAGCACAGATTTGCATGATGAGTACCTTTGTGACTATCTCTTATTGAACGAATATTTCACAAGTTAGTAGGAGGTAGTTTTGCTATATAAACTCCTGAGTTAACATCTAGGGCTATCTTTCACCTCTGGGGCTATCACATTTGCATAATGTGATTTGGAGTGAAATAGTGATACCTAAACCTAGAAGAAACTAGTGTATTTATTTAATGCTTAAGTTATCTGGGTACTCAGTTCCCTCTTTAATGGTGTATGTGTACATATGCAGATACATGCAAAAAACCTATGCTGAGAAAAAGTCACTTCATATGCAAAACGATAACGGTCAGTCAGGATAGAAATAACCCATTGCAGTTTATACAATGTAATTTCAACTATTTCCCACCTGTGCTGTCAGTTCTGCCTGAAGAGGCAATTAATGAAGAGGGAAAGAAGCAAAAGAAGGATGAAAGTAGAGGAGGATTTGCTTCAGAAATAGAACAGCATGGGATGACATTAGCTCAAAGTTTTTTATAGCTGAGAGCAGGATTCTAAAGCCTTAGGATTGTTACCCAATTTCACAGTGGATGGTTGTGAAGGGACAGGGGATATGAAAACATTCTAATCAGACAGAAAATAGTGATCATGCTCATGAATATCAACAGTGGGAGTGAGATCAGCAGATTATAGAAGAATTTACTTTCTGACTCATTAGGTTTCCTGGTCAGTATTAGGAGAGATTCAATCTTACTGTTTTTCCAATGAAAGAGAATATTATATGAGTCTCCCCAAGTTTGTAAAGATAAATCAAGACCATTTATATAGCTGAAGCTATATAGAGGCAGAAAAATAATATCGGTTTATCTGGAATATTCAGAGTGACTGGGAAAGAAAGTAAGATGAGGAGATAAACCAAACCTAACATCAATAGCTGTTTTAGTCAATCAATATTTTCCCAAAAACAATCAAGATTGTAACACAGAAGACCTGGAAGATGTGTCAGTGAAATTTACTCTTCCTTGGCCTGAAGTTGCTGTCTACAGCCATATCACCCCTAAAAGCACCTGATCTTGTCTGTATTTGAAACTGCAAATTGTTTCCTTTCTCTACTTTGTCTTTCATAATTATGTACTTCACCAGATGAGAGGATGCAAAATTAATATAACTGTAGTAAATATGAAATGTGGCTTACGGACACTGAAGTGTTCACAGCCTGTTAACTTATCAATAGCTTTGCAGGCCTCCCCTGTCTTCAACATTTCTTCTTGCCTTCGTTTACTTTCTGGATCATTATTCAGAATCTTGTTCCTCAGCCAGGTCAGATGATACACCCGAAGTCTGTTCTTACGACCTGATATATGAGAAAAGATACAGTATTTCAAGTCAGTCTTTCTTTTCATATATTAGAAAAACAAAATGTAAAGGTGTTTTTCCTTTTAAAAATATTTTTATTTACATAAAAAGCACTTTTTAGGAAACTACATTGCATCAGAATCTCCCATTCAGGGTTTCAAAACGTAACAGACGATTTTAGTCTCTCAATTCCAATAGATGGTCAAAGTATCTAATTATGTGCCTCTCTGAAGTGTATCTAAACATTTTTGGGGGGACAGGTTAACCTTTCCACTACACAGGCAGGATAATTACCATGCACTCATTTGTACCTTGGCTATTCACTAAGTCATGACTGCTCTGGGGTTCAGAGACCTAGAAGCTGTCCCTGGTAGAGTGTGTGTGAGAGGGGTGGCTGAATATTGACTTTAACAGATATTAAGGGACAGCAATATGGGTATCTTTGTATTCTGTTGTTCTAACATGCTTATAAAACAGTTGAACAGTTTATCATATTTTCCCCCAACTCAATTTATCGTTTATTAATTTCCTAATTGTAAATCCCATCAAATTCTTACAATTTGGTCAGAAAACAGGCCATGAAAAAAATCACACACTGCTTTCCCCCTATATAGTGACTATAATCACTTATCTTTGTCATTTTTATGGCTTATTATTACATTATTTCTAGGCCCAACAATAGGATTCTTATATGATTAATCTTTCATATGTTTTTATGTAACAGTTTTGAAGCAGTGTTAGGGTTCAGATAGGTACATCTATGTGATACGGTCTTGAATTGTAATCTAAACTGTAATCCCCATGTGTTCAGAGAGGGACCCACTGGGAAATAAATTGAATCATGGGGGCCGTTACCTTCATGCTTTTCGCATGATAATGAGTGAGTTCTCACAAAATCTGACAGCTTTGTAAGGGGCGTTCCTGCACTTCACTCTGCACTTCTCCTTGTTTCTGCCATGTGAAGAAAGACATGTTTGCTTCCCATTCTGCCATGACTGTAAGTTTCTTGAGGACTCTCCAGTCATGTGGAACTGTGAGTCAATTAAACCCCTTTCCTTTATAAATTACCCAGTCTCATGTATGTCCTTATAGCAGCATGAGAACGGACTAATACACTAGGGCTATTCTGTTTCTTAAATGGTAAAATAAATTTGTGCTTTAAACTACTGAGTATCTTCTTATACTGAGGTTCTCAGTACTGTTTGATGGAAAAATATTCCACATTTGAAAGAAGCCCAAGCATTAGAGAAGAAAACATTTTGGTTAAAGAAAGTTGCATAAAAAGTAAAGAAATGTGTTACACCGATATGTAGTCTACAAGCCACCCAAATGTTTTTTTAAAAATTACTTCTATGTACCTTAAAATTATAAGCAAATGACTATAAAAACTATAAAACATGATTTAGAAAATCATGAAGTCTGAGCATGCCTCTAAAGAAATTTCTCCTCTAATCAAAGCTAAAGGCAAAGTTAATCATTTTAGGAATAATACATAACCATTAATGTGCAATATGGAAATTTGTGCACTAATTATACGTAAAACATGTTATATATACAATAAAATGTATAAACTCATATAAGTGACTGTGATTAACACCATTTTATTCCGTAGACAAACGACATTTTCTTACTTTTCCTCTCTTTTGTCAGTCATCTTTTGCTTAGAGTCAGCTTTAATGTTGATGCTTTCCTGATACTAAGTGCTGTTTAGTAATCAGGATCACTTTTAACACTCATTTACTTGTCCTCTTGTATTCTAAGGTTTAGGCTCTGACCGACCAAAACTAAGACATTTAACTACTATTTGGAAAAGGTGTAAAGATCTTTAGGGGATCCATTCTTGTTACAAACTCCGTATCTGTAGGCCCTTGTGATAAAGCTATACTAAGGACAAGACTCTTGTATATCTGATTATTGTTCACTTTGTTCTTTGCTACTTCTAACACATTACAAGAAAGGGACATGGTGGATGTTGATCCAGTCCTGTGCATGAGTGGATGAAAATTGGAGATCTGAATTTGTAGGAGGCTGCACTGGAGAGAACATATAAGGATGCAAATGGTGTGGTTTTTCTTATCAGTAACTTAGGCTAGGTACTTTACAATTAAAGAAAGTTACTTTAAATTGTAAATAAATAAGAGATTACAAGTAGGAAAGTCTGGTGTCCCAATTAAAGGTTATATTTAAACTGTTTTTCTATGAACACTTGCACCGAGAAAGTCTTTAACCTAGTTTGCAGCCTAATTAACCTACATAATTACTCAGCTAATTTTAGTTCTTAAACAAACCTGAGATGGTAATCAGCAAATTGAGTGCCTCTAAGACTTGAATCTGGCGGAATGGTCTTCGCCTTATAAGTTTAGTAATGTCGGCCTTTCCACTTCTGTCCATCAGATATAGATTAGATCGGGTTCCCAACAGCAAATTGACTCCTGTTCATATATAAAAAGAGCTATGTTAATTCAGATTGTTTTTCATAATTGCATCAATATTACTATTTTTGCTATTCCAGTGTGTTGATCTATGTAAAGATGACTCATCAGTTTAGGCTATATTGACCTCATACTGTGTAACTCTGTACTCTCTACCAACAGAACAAATTTCAATGAAATACATAAAAATATAGAAGATAATTCCCTCTGGCAACATTCCACTGGCTAGTGTCTGATATGCCATCTCACAAATGGAAATATATGGATATCTTAGCACCTTTTAGCAATGTTCTAAACTTTATCAAAATCAATCAACCTTTTTGAAAATTGCCATTAAAAATTCTTAGTCTACCACATACAAAGAGTTCAATTCAGCTCATTTCTCATTTGTAAACATAAGTGAATGTTTGAATGCTTTAAAAATAATTATATGTAAATAATTGTTTTTAAACTGAATGATTCTGTGTTCATGCATATATTAATTTACCATCACCAAATGCCTGTGAAATTAGCTCTTACTTTCACATATCTGAATTTCTACACTCTCTTTTATTTGTTGACTGGCTCTATTTGTTCAAATTTAAGCACTGTTTAAAAACCAAATAAGAGGACTGAAATAGAAGACAGAACTAAGGTTAAATTGTACTTCAAACTACTGTGGAAGCTTTTCACGATAAAATGACATAGGCGATAACCAGCCAAGTAGTATAACAAGATAAAATTTCACAGTCCTCCTTGCACCTGGAGCATACCTATGCTTCACGAGCATAGGAGAAAACTTAAACAATTTTGCCTTCATTTTCTTACTCTATCCTCAACCGTTCTCTAACTCATGGCCAGTAGCATGTTTAGGGGCTGCATCTTCTTCTCACAGGAGAATCAGAGAAGGAGGAAGAAGTATAGTCAATTTTTACTATAATCTTCTATTTTTCAAAATACAAAATTATGGGTTATAAAAATGAGTTATTAGACATTATCTACATTTCTGGGTAGTTGCCAGACTGAAATGTTCATACCATCTTGTTGTTTGAGACACTAAATTAGCAGAACTTTGAGATGACTTTTTCTAAGTTCTTTAATCCATATAATTACAATGTTTGCCACCCTTCTCTATTTTTAACTTTAAACACTGTCCTTTGTTCAATCATACATTAAGCAAAATTTATGAAATTGCAAGACAGAGGTTGGCATTTACTTTGGATTTCTTTCTTCCTTGCATTCATTTATTCTGTTTCACTTATGATTCAGTTTGGCTTGAGGTAAAATATTGCCTCAGCATTTCCAAAGTGGTTATAATTTTTCTGAATCAAAGGATTTAAAAAAGTCTATCAGAGTTAAGACATTATAGAAGGAACTTTCTCTGCAAATTCCCAAGCCTTTTTACCAACAAGATCCTGCAGAAATCTTTCTTGAAATATCTCATAATGTATCATATGTTAGAAATATGAATCTTATATTTTCAAAAAATCACAACCTAGTCCAACTGTATATTTTATCCAAGTTAACTCAGGTTTAAAAAAAAAAACAAAGGCAGGGGCCATCAATTCAAAAATCAAACTGCACCGAGTAAAAACAAAAATCAACAAAACCAATTCTGAGAAAATTAACTACTATAAATTTATTGCAATGGTTTGGTAAGAGCAAACAAATATTTTATGTCTATTATTTTCACAGGTTTGAAATATGAAAACAAAACAAACTGACCCCACAAAGAACCACAGCAGATCTCAGAAGTGAACTCCTTTTCATACATGTGGATTAGTGGTTTTTTACATGCAGGAGAGACATAGAGTGGGTTAACATTGACTTCAGGTGGTTGCTTAGGTAATTCCTCAGGGACTTCTACGAATCCAGCATATACTGCAAAGATGTAAGGGGAAGATAACAAGAGAAATTACTAGCTCTGTGCCTGATAGAGTTATAGAAAAAAAAATTTAAAAAGAAAAGTCTGGGTTGTGCATGGCGGCTCACACCTGTAATCCTAGCACTTTGGGAGACTGAGGCAGGGCATCACCTGAGGTTGGGAGTTCGAGACCAGCCTGACCAACAGGGAGAAAGCCCACGTCTACTAAAAATACAAAATTAGCTGGGCATGGTGGCCCATGCCTGTAATCCCAGCTACTCAGGAGGTTGAGGCAGGAGAATCGCTTGAACCCAGGAGGTGGAGGTTGCCATGAGCCGACATCAAGATTATGCCATTGCACTTCAGCCTGAGCAACAAGAGCAAAACTCTGTCTCAAAAATAAACAAACAAACAAATAAATAAATCTGCACCTGATGGAGTTATAGAAAAAAATTTAAAATTATTCATCTATACAACTTATATGCTACAATGTTTCCACAAATGAAACACGACTTAGCCAAATTTATTTTCTTTGGCCAGGTGTGGTGGCTCACGCCTGTAACCCAAGCACTTCAGAAGCCAAGGTGGGAGAATCATTAAGAAACAGAGGTTGAGGCTACAGCGAACCATGATCATGCCACTGTAATCCAGCCTAAATGACAGACCAAGATCTTGTTGCAAAATAAAAAAACACATTTCTTTCTTTTTATTGTATTTTATTTTTTACTGGAAGTATAGTTTCAGTAACTCTGAAACCATCAGCTAAGACAAACTCATGATGGCTAAAATACATGGTTGAACACGAATATATTTTAAGTTATTATAATTAGAACACACACACAAATCTAGATAAGGGATTCAATTTCTCAGTTGTAGCTCAAATTTAAGTACCACAAAGATTCAGTGAAGACTAGATGTTTTAAAAGCATATATCAACCTGAATTTATTTCAACTGAATGCCAGAATAATTTGATTCCTAACAAATCATAAAGCACTTGTTAAACACTATTTAATATGTGAACAGATAACAGCATTTAGAGATTATATTAAACACACTTACAGATGGCACTGGCAAAGTCAGCATCAGTAGACCTCGCAGAACCTTTGGAAGGAGAAGAGTGACTGGCAGAAAAATCTGATTGTGTTGATGATTCTGATATGTCTTTATTGTCATTCTCATCATCAGGTGCTGACGGTGCAGCACCTGAATCAATGGCATTTGAAGCCTCAATTCCACCATCTGGCTCCTAAAAGAAGACCAAAGGCCAATTTTTATTTTATTACTAGGTTAACAGTGGGAGAAATATGCCTAGTGTGGGGTTGTTTGAAAAACAGAATGCAAGATCTATAACATCTGCATTCTTATAAAATCCACATTTACTAGAAAAACTCAACAATGTTATCAGAAGAGGGAAAACTAACCTATTGTTGAGATGACTGATATTAGAGGAGAAATGCAAGGAGCTGTAGGTTCCCAGCTGTACAATTTGGGACCTAATATTTGTGGAATTTTTACCATGTATCAGCTACTGTGCTAGGCATCATATTTAGATTCTTTGTGAATCCTTTTCATAGCCCAACAAGTAACTATTATTATCTCCAATTTACTTATACAAATTTAAAATTTAGAGATGATGAATAACTTATTCAGTCATAGTGTTAATAAGTAGGGGAAGTGGACTTTGAAACCAAAATCTGTTTGATTCCAAAGCATACATTCAGCTGTGTCATGCCATAATTTTCAAATGATAAAGAAAATGAAGGAAAATCAACCAACACAAATTCAAGAGTGTAAACATGCATCACTGAACATGTAGCTGGCTTTCATTAACTTACAAGGAAGATACTCAAGGATAAAAGCCACAAAATTTGACAATTTATGTGGTATGCCATGTCCTGTGGGAAAATATGTGAACTATTGTTGGTAAGTCCTTCTGTTGATAAGCTCATTCTTGTGTCTAAACAGTGATTCTTGGCACTCAGAAAGATGTGCTATTCTGTAAAAGACTGATTTTTATGACCTTTTCAACCACAAAAACATGGTATGACACCATGTCCTGTCTAAGTTGAAATGAAAGAAAGATCCACTTCCTCTATAGATTTCCCAAACATTCCTTAAGGTAACTGGAGATAACCAGGGGTGCTATGAAACTTATGTTGGAACATCCTGTTTTAATGTATTTAATTTAGATAGACATAGATAGATAGATAGATAGATAGATAGATAGATAGATAGATAGATAGATAAACAGACATAGATATTTTCCCGCTGACACTGCTTTCCCGTTAGAAAACATTTGGGGAACTTCCTTCCTTCCTTTCTTTTAATTTGTTTTCATCCTTTATTGATTTATTTCATAATTACTGTATGCTTATCATGTCATGTCCTAGGTTACACACTGAAGTTGGGTGAGTTGGTAGACAAATAATCAAGGAATGATTAGATATAATTCTTTCCTTTTAAGAGCTCACAATATAGTGTGAAAGCAAAAAATAAAATTACAATACCATAAGTACTAAAATGGAATTATGGGCAAAAGGTTTGCAAGCATAGAGGAAGGGGTATATAATTCTTCCTTGGGAAGTCAAGGATTATATTGATTTGGCCCATGAAGGATTAGTAATTCACCAAGCAGAGAAGTGAGAGGGCAGCCTTCCATAGGAAACAGCTTGCACAGGAGCACTGACTCATGAAAGAGCACAGCATCTCCAAAGCCAGTTTATGTGACAGGAACATAGGCCAGGGGAGTAGATTGGCATAATCTTTCTTCTGTCTGGAGTTCCAGGTGCGTTTTCAGATATCCAGACACTCCCCATTTCTCAAGAATGAGTTCAAATATCACATGGTCCAGGAAATAGTCTCTGTGATAATTCCTACTGATGTAGCATCTATGAACTACTTGAGTATTTCAAACCTATCTATAAAGTCAATAAATGTTTTGTGAATGACAAAATCATTGTCTAAACACAGCATATTACTTGAATTAAAAATTTATATGTTGACAGTTGCTCAAGAAGTTAAGCATTGACTTACTACATGATGTAACAATGCCACTCCTAGCTATATACCCCCCCAAAAAAAACCTGAAGGCAGGAACCCAAACAGATACTTGTACATCAATGCTCCCAGGAGCACTATTTACAATAACCAAAAGGTAGAAACAACCCAAGTGTCCATCAATAGATGAATGAATAAAAAATATGATATATGCACAAGATAAAATATTATTCAACCTTGAAAAGGAATGAAATTCTGATAAATGCTGCAACATGAATAAACTCTGAAAACCTAAAAAGTGAAACAAACCACACACAAAAGGACAAATACTTTATGATTCCACTTATATAAGTTACCAAGGAAAAAAACTAGAATAGAGGTTATCACAGGTTGGGGGAGGGGGAAACCAAGACTTAATTATTTAATTTGTTTGGCATGATAAAAAAAAAGTTCTGAAAATGGATAGCGATGACAATCCCACAACATTTTGAATGTAATAAATCCAACTGATTTGTACACTTAAAAATGGTCGAAATGGTAAATTTTATGATATGTATATTTTACCACAATCAAAAAATATTCCCAGAAAAAAATAATTGGCTCTGGTTGCAGTGATGTCAGTAAGATATCTTATTGGTGGCACCTGATGCTTGTCCCCTTCACAAAAAAGGACAAAGAGAATGAATAAACAATTAGAATTCAACTGGTGTGTCTGAGGGAGAGGGTTGGAGTGCAGTGATGGCGTGGTGAGGTCACTGTGCAGCATGGAATATCAAAATGGCAGGAAAGAGAGTGAAGTGAGGTACTCTGCTTCTGCTGCCCCATCTCCCCTACCATGATCAGCTCAGAGCCAGGAAGAAATTCTTATTGAGAAAAGGTAAGCAGAAAACTCTCATTAGCCCCAGTTGCCACCACAGAGAACTCTAGTACTTACTACAGGATAATCTCATAGTCCCCACAAGCCCTGAGCTAAGTTTGGGAAGGTGCCTGAAATTCTTGTGGCTGCATTGCTCCAGACAAGCAGCAAAAGTTGTGTATTTTCCACCAACTCATGACCTAAGCTGCTGCAGCCTGGTGTTATCTTGAATCTAGAGCCATTGCTGAAATGCACTACGCTCTGGGGGCCAGTAACCACTGTGCCTCTCCAGCCTTGTGCCTCCATTGTAATTTCACCAAGGCCCCATTGATGGCTGAAATGCTGTGACCCTGACTGCTCAGGCCTTGGGCCCAGGAAAGACTGACCATAACTCCAGTACTGCACAGTGGTGAAGCCAACTCTAGGCTGGCTTAACTAGTGTGCACTTGCACCCTTGGTCAAAGAAACAGCTCAGCAGCCCTGATCCCAGAAAGCCAGACCTGCAAGCCAGCTGTCCCAAACTGTGTGACCACACCCTTGCCCACAGAAGTAGTCTGGTAACCCAATCCTGGAGAGAACATTCCCGAGCCACCCAATCCACTGCATGTACACTTGTGCCTCTGGCCTGAGAAACAGCCTGGCAAGCCCACCTCTGCCAAAGATGTGCCACCTTTGCCACAAACTTTTGCAGCCTGGGCCACTGAGGCACTAGCAAACATTGCTAATGTAGATTACAGCATAGAGACTATGCTGCTGCATCTACCCAGAGCCAAAGCCAATGCACCCCACCCAACCAACACCCCAGGACCCATCTATAGTACTAAGTCTTTCCTTATGGAAGGCACTGCATAACATTATAAGAAGTGATTGTTCCACCAGAGGCACAGATAACAACACAAGGATACAAGAAACATTAACAAATAAGGAAACATGATACCTTCAAACCGAACATAATAAGTCTCCAGTAGCAGACCCAACAGAAAAGAAAATGTGAAGTGCCAGAAAAAGAATTCATAATAATGATATTAAGGAAACTCAACAAGATACAAGAGAATGCAGACAGACAAATCATTTTTTTTAAATCACCATCTGAATGAGAAATTTAATAAAGGAATAGGTATCATTTAAAAAGAACCAAACAAAAATATTGAAGATAAAGAAGTCAATGAGTAAAATTAAAAAAAAATACAATACAGAGCTTCAACAGCTGACTACACCAAGCAGAAGAAATAATTTCTGAACTTGAAGATAGGTCTTTTGAAATGACCCAGGCAGATAAGAAAAAAGGAGAAAAATAAATAAAGAGAGCCCATAGAACTTATGGGACAACATTAAGAGGATGTATTGTTGAATTATGGTGGTTCCAGAAAGATGAAAATATATAGAAAATTATTTAATGACATGACTGCTGAAAACTTCTCAAGTCTTGGGAGAGATGTGAACATCCAGATTAAGGCAGCTCAAAAGTTATGAAATACATTCAACTCAAAAAGGTCCTCTCAAAATAAAATTACAGTGAAACTGTCAAAAGTCAGTGACAAGGAGAGAATACTAAAACAGCAGAAGAAGAGTCTCATCACATATAAGGAAATCCTCATTGGACTAATAGCAGATTTCTGAACATAAACCTTACAGGCCATGAGAGAATAGGATGATGGATTCAAAGTGCTGAAAAAAAAAAAAACCCTGCTAGTACAAAATAGTATCCCCAGAAAAGCAATCCTTCAGAAATAAAGGATAACTAGGCTGGGCATGGTGGTTCATACCTGCAATGCTAGCACTTTTGGAGGCTGAGGTGGACAGATCACAAGGTCAGGAGTTCAAGACCATCCTGACCAACATGGTGAAACCCTGCCTCTACTAAAAATACAAAAATTAGCCAGGCATGGTGGTGCATGCCTGTAATCCCAGCTACTCAGGAGGCTGAAGCAGGAGAATTGCCTGAACCCAGGAGGCAGAGGTTGCAGTGAGCCGTGATCACACCACTGCACTCCTGCCTGGGTGACAGAGCAAGAGACTCTGTCTCAAATAAATAAATAAATAAATAAGAAATAAAGCATCTTCTACATAAGTAAAAAGTAAGGAAATTCATCACTAGATAAGTCTTATAAGAAATGCTTAAGGGAGTCCTACATCTGAAAGAAAAAATACAGTAACTACTATCATGAAAACATGAAATTATAAAACTGGTAAAGCAGGTATAGAAAGGTGAAAGAAAGGAATCAAACCTTATCACTACAAAAGATTACCTAACCACAAAGTTTAACAATAAGACAATAGGTTAAAAAAAAAAGGGGATACACAAAACAATCAGAAACAATTAACAAAATGACAGGAGTAAGTGTTCACCTATCAATAATAAACTTGACAGTAAACAGACAAAATTCTGTAATTAAACTTATAGAATAGCAGAATGGTTTAAAAAGAAATGCCAGATATAGGTGACGGGTGGATGGAGGCAGCAAACGACCTTGCCATGTATGTACCCATGCAGCAACCTTGCATGATCTTCACATGTACCTCAGAACCTAAAGTATAATTTAAAAATAAATAAATAAATAAAAATAAAACAAAACTACAAGCCAATATCTCTGATGAAGATAGATGCAAAAATACTGAACAAAATACTAGCAAACTGAATTCAATACCACATTAAAAATATTATACACCATGATTAAGTGAGATTTATTCCAGGGATATATGGGAGATTCAGCATATGCAAATCAATAAACATGATACACCACATCAATGGAATCAAAGACAAAAATTATATGATCATGTCAAAAGATACCAAAAAAACTTACGAAAGGTCAGGAGCAGTGGCTCACGCCTGCAATCCCAGCACTTTGGGAGGCTGAGGAGGGTGGATCAGAAGGTCAATAGATAGAGACCATCCTGGCCAACATGGTGAAACTCCATCTCTACTAAAAATACAAAAATTAGCTAGGCGTGGTGGCACATGCCTGTAGTCCCAGCTACTCAGGAGGCTGAGGCAGGAGACTTGACTGAACCCAGGAGGCCAAGGTTGCCGTGAGCCAAGATTGCACCACTGCACCTCAGCCTGGGTGACAGAGCAAAAGACTCCATCTCAATAAAAAAAAGAAAAGAAAAAAACAGCATTCGATAAAATTTTACATTCCTTCATGTTAAAAACTCTCGACAGTTCAGGTATGGAAGTAACACACCTCAAAACAATAAAGACCATATATGAAAATCCCACAGCTAAGATCACACTGATTGGGAGAAAGCTGAGTCTTTCCTCTAAGAACTGGAATCAGACAAAAAATTCCCACTTTCACCACTCTTATTCAACTGAATTCTGAAAGTCCTAATCAGATCAATTCCGCAAGAGAAGGAAATAGAAGACATCCAAATTGGAAATGAGGAAGTCAGATTGTGTCTATTTAAATATGACATGATCTTATAAATAGAAAAACTTTTGACACCACCAAAAATTCTTAGAATTAATAAACAAATTTAGTAAACTTGCAGGATATAAAATCAGCATAGAAAAATCTGTAGCATTTGTATATACCAACAACAACCTAGCTGAGAAAGAAATCACAAAAATAATCCCATAGTCAATGGCTACAAAATAAAATATTTCAAAATATATTTAACCAATGAGGTTAAATATCTCTATAAGAAAAACTGTAAAACATTGATGAAGGAAACTGAAAAGGATACACACACATACAAAAGGAGAAGCACCCTATGCTCATGGACTAGAGTAATTAACATTGCTGAAATGACCCTACTATCCAAAGCAATATACAGATTCTGTGCAATCCTTATGAAAATACAAATGACATTCTTCACAGAAACAGGAAAACAAATTCTGAAATTTGCATGGAATCAAAAAAGACCCAGAATAGCCAAAGTAATCCTGAGGGAAAAGAGTAATACTGGAGGCATCACAATATCAGATTTCAAAATATACTACAAAACCACAGCAATCAAAAACAGACACACATACCAATGGAACAGTATAGAGGACCCATAAATAAATCCACATGTTTATTTATCTCATAATGGTTGATTTTTGATAAAGGCATCAAGAATGTTCATTGGAGAGAGGACAATGTCTTCAATAAATGGTGCTGGGAAAACTAAATATCCATACACAAAAGACTAAAACTAGACCCCTATTTCTCACCTTATACAAAAAATCAACTCAAAATAGATTAGACATAAATGTAAGACCTGAAACTATAAAATTACTAGAAAATACAATGAAATGCTTCCAGACATTGGTTTTGGAAAAAAATTAAGACTAGGACCTCAAAAACAGGCAACAAAAGTAAAAATATACAAATATACACAGAAAAGGAAATGATCAAAAAAGTGAATAAACAACCTGAAGAATGAGAGAAAATATTTGCAAACTATTCATCTGACAAGGTATTAAAATCCAGAATGTAAGACACTCAAACAACTCAACAGAAAAAAAAGCAAATAATCCAATTAAAATGGGCAAATGTTTTGAATAAACATTTTTCAAAAGAAGACGTACAAATGATCAACAAATCTAGGAAAACATTTTTAACATAATCATTGGGAAATGCAAATCAGAAGCACAATAAGATATCATCTGATCCTAGTTAGAATGGTAATCATCAAAAGACAAGCAATAAGTGTGGGTGAAGATGTGGAGAAAAGGAAACTCTTATATACCATTGGTGGGAATGTAAACTACTACACCAATAATGGAGAATAGCACTGCGGTTCTTCATAAAACTACAAATAGAACTACCATATGATGCAATAATTTCACTACTGGGTACATATCTCACAAAAAGAGGAAATCAGTATATCAAAGAGCTATCAGCACCTTCATGTTTACTGCAGCACTAATCACAATAGCCAAAAAAGGAATCAGCCTTAGCATCCATCAAGAGATGAATTGATAAAGAAAATGTGACATATATACAGAATGAAATGTTATTTAGCCATCAAAAGAATGAAATCTTGTTATTTGCAGCAACATGGATGAACCTGTACTCAATGTTATGTTAAGTGAAATAAACCAGGAACAGAAAGATAAAAACCGCATATTCTTACTCATATACAAATGCTAAAAAATCGATCCCATATAAGTAGAGAGTAAAATAGTGGTTTCTAGACACTGGGAAGAGGAGTAGAGGAGAGCAATAGAAAGGCTGGTTAAAGGATCCAAATTCACGACTAAACAGGAGATATAAGTTCTAGTATCTATAGCACTGTAGGATAACTATAATTAACAATAATTTGTTATATATTTTTAAATAGCTAGAAGCGAGAATATTGACTGTTTCCAACACAAAAAATGATGAATGTTTCAGTTGATGGGCATGCTAAATACACTGATGTCATTACTACAAATTGGATATATTAAAATATCACTCTGTACCCCATAAACATATACAATTATGTGTCAATTAATTTTTAAAATACTTTTACAGTGTGTGGCAAGAGACACTACCCCAAATATGTTATGTGAGTAATAAAGGCAAACAAATAAGAGACCTTTGCCTTTGGAAGTAAATATAGACCCTGCAAATTAGTAGTAATAAGGATCTACCTACGAACCTATAATTAAAAATGTTTAAGGCTTTGGGGTATATGATTAAAATCTATTTGGAATGGCTGGAAGTGCTATATGTCCCTTGAAGAAACAGATTTGCAATGAGAGGAGTTCAATCTGCTTTTCAAATGGTGCATTACCTCCTGTAGATATTCGAAGTCCTGAGATGCAGGTCTCTTCAATCCTGGACCATCTGTCTCTGAGCAATTTTCTTTTCCATTGAGTCCAAGGGCTCCACTCTCTTCACTGGTTCGAATGACTCTCTTACTTCCATCACCTCCACAGTCTCTTCTTTCACTGCTTATATTGGCTGCATGTTCTTCCTGATCTCCAGTGGCTGCATTGTCCTCACTGGCTGCACTTCCTTCATGGCTGCTATTGACTCTATGGCTTCCATAGCCTCTGTAGGCCTCTTCTTTTCCATTACTTCCATCATAATCATCTGGCTTGCAGCTTCCATCTCTGCCATAGCTTGCCCTGATAACAAGCTCCAATTAATGAAGGAAAGCCACGCAATAAAAACACATTTGAAAGTTAGCAAATAAAGCAGAATTGGGATGTGTTTTATTTAGATCTATCTTGCCCGGTTTTGTCTTTGCTCTATGTGAACACTACTGGTATGATACAGACAAGAAAAATGTCCCTATGTCCTGTTAGTCTTACATAATGAATTAATGCCACAGCCACCACCAATTTTCTGATGCATTTGAATGGCAGAGGGAAGAGAACTTGTGTACTTTGTTAGGCACACGTATTAGGCTTGCAGCAAGAATATGTAGTTTTTTCTTAAATACATACTATTTCATGCACTAGCAACCTCACATATACAGGAGTGATTAACCCTGCATTTTTAGCTTAACCACAACATGATTAATTCTTCTTGAAGTATATCTAGTTTGTGTTCATTTTAACACCTACCTTGTTTTTCTAACATGTGTGCTGACTGCTTTGCTACAGAACTCCATTGGTCTACTGCTTCCACCAAGGAAGTTCGGCAATACAGAACTCATATCTTGTAGAACTAAGTCATTTAGTTAATTATTAAAAATACTAAGCTTAACAAAATGTCTCAATGCTCTCTCTTTGCATAGGAAACAAAATTTAACATATGTGCCTGTGGCAAATTTATTTCATAATGTAATTCTTGATAAATGTTTTAGTTGGAAAAAAAATCAAAAGAGCTCTTGGTAATTTCTCCACTAATTAAACAGAAAAGGATCATCTTAAATTTATTATATACATGGTGATATTGCAAAAGTTTGAGAAATGCATAGCTATGTTTGCAAATACCTAGACTTCACCTTATGCTTATTAAGTTACACACTTCCTCTGTTGTCCTTTCTCATACTCAGTATGGTTTTATAGAGTAGGATGATTCAGTGGCAGGAATTTTAACAGAAACATTCAGGTGATTCCAGTTATAAAAGAAACTAATAAATACTCGAATGCTTACTTTAAAATACACAAATAACACAAATTATATGTTCTGCATTAGAATAATTTAAAATACATTATTGACAATCAAACCATTTACTAAAATGCAAGTGAAATTAAGTCACTCTCTTGATAATAATTTTTGAAACTAAATCAAAGATGCAAATATTTCTGAAGTTATAAAACATGGAGAGTATAAGTAATTCAAAAAGACCAACCTTAGACAACGAGATGCCTCATGATAATTATCATTTACATCATCAACAGACTTATTGTTGTCATCATCATGGTCTTCATAAACATCATTAGCCTGATCAATCTGGTTATCCGAGTCATCATTGCCATTGGCATGATCATAGGTATCGTCATAAACATCATTAGACTCATGCTCTTCATCACCATCAGTATCAGCACTGACATCATAGAGTTCAACATAATCACCATCCTCTTCATGTGGCTGACTGATGGGTGCAGGAGTTAACCAATCATTCCGGAAGATTTCAGAGAGTGCATTATAGCCCACCCATTCATTTGTCAAGTATACAGGGGGTGATATTTTTCCTACTTTAAATCCATCTGGAACCTGGGTGCACAAGAAAGGTTAATGTAGTCTCTAGCAGCCTTTCATTTCCTTCTAGATTTGAAAGTTTCCAAGCTGACAATATTTTAAAATATATTTTAAATTGAAGCAAGGATGTTCACTCACTATATAGAGCCAAAGTTTTAGTGAGGATGAGATGTCCAAACCCAAACACCAGACTGTGATTATTAGTAGCTTTTCTGGGTCACATAGGCCAAATTTACTCACTTAAAAAAAATTACCTATACTTGTCTGCTCAAGAGTAGACATTTACTTTTGATGCTGGAGAGAACAGGTGATTTGATGGTCTTTAAATATGGTAACTTTTCCCTTTTGTTTTATCTCCTGACATGGGATTATCACACAGCTCTTGAAACTGATATGCTAATTTCCCAGCTCTGGTTTTATGCAACATAGGTTGTCTTAAAGTATCGCAAACAATTCAAAAGATCAAAATAATCTAAATCCATCTTTTAAGTATGATGTGTGTCATTTAACAACTTTTGGGCAATCTAGAAGGGATATGTGTATGGTAGCATAGAGGTAATTACAAAAGTGAAATAGAATGATCTGAAACCACATTGCATTAGGACAATTTAAAATCTGCATTACAACAATTTAAAAATGTTCACAAAGAGCTGGAAGACTTTTTATTTATGCAATCAGAGGGCACTCTATTTTTTACTAAATGTTTTATTTGTATACATTGCCTCATCACTCAAGGAATGCTATTAAAAGTTGGACATCTAACCTGTACACCTCAATCTGAGATTAGCTTTTACAAATAGCTCTTTATCACTACTCTCCCAGGTGTATTCTAACTGACAAAAGAATGTGAAAATAAAATATTCTCTGGTTAAATGTTTTCCCATTTCAATTTTAATTTTTAGATTTTGTGTTCTATATATTCACAAAGCAATGAGAATCTATCTTTAAAATTATAATTTAAAAAACTAAACTATTTAACCATCCCTCCTTAAATGAAGATGAGAATGCGTAAGTCAAATCAAATGAAACATCAAAAATAATAGATATTAATGTATTAAGATGGAAACTTACATGGATGTCAACCAGCAACTTCTGATCAATAGTAGAATAAGGTGGTGATGACTGGGACCTCCTTCCAGTCACAGGACTCTCTTCCTCAGAAGAAGATTCTATGGAATGCCAAAAACACATTAGCAACAATAGTGATTGCAGCCATTACCTTCATTTGTATAGTGTATCAGGTAAATCCCTTGTTGTTTCTCTTGTCCTTTTTGTGATTCCATTCAGAAAACATCACCTGATACATTCTCATGGGGCCAGGATCGTAAATTCTCTTTTCAGGGGGGCATTAGCAGGTTCAAGTTTTCTTCCATCTATAGACCTACATGGCTGTTCTGTTTTCAATATTAAGTGTACACTTGACAAATATCTCTATCTATGTAAGATGATACATTGTACTACTGATAGCCAGGTAGATGCATTAAAAAAGAAGAATGCATCAAGAATAGGAAGGGCTGGGAGTATCAGTTGCCTTGTATTCTGACCAGTAGAAAAAAAGACCGACAATTTATTTATTAGAAGATGATAGACTAGCCAAAGCCCTCAAGAGGAAAGTTCATTCTTCAATCTTAACCCCCACTAATTCTCTCCCAATGATATATCCACATGTATTTCAATACAGTTGAGGAGTGAACTACTGAAAAGAGATAACACTTACCCCTCTCCATAAAGCTGGAAACATTTTTGTAGCAGCAATGTACAAGAAAACTTTCTGCAGTGATAGAAATTTTCTGTATCTGCACTGTCTATTAACACTAGTCATTAATCACAAATGACTACAGAGCATTTGAAATGTGGCCAGTATGCCTGCGAAGCTAACTTTTAAATTTTATTTTTTATTTTAGTATTTTTCATTTTAATAGCTACATGTGGCTAGTTGCTACCACATTGAACAGCTCAATTCTATAGTGCAAATATTTCCAGTCAAAATACAAATGTATCTGGTTTGGAGATTAGCTTTTAATATTGAGTTGTAGCCTGGTAAATAATGTCTGTGATTAAAATCCAGTGAGAATATTTAACAGGGTTAAAATTCAGGTCTGGGTGGGTATACTTAGAAAAAGTTTCACTAAGAGAAAATTCAGGTCCCTGTTTATTGTGTTCCCATCTTCTGTCACTATTGTACTTCTGCTGACTTTTTTTTTTTTTTTTTTTGCAGGAAACCATTTTCTTCTAAGTCTTTTGGTATGTTAGCAGACCAAATAAGTTCAAGTGAGTGTACTGAGATTTTCAGACAAATTTGTAGTAAGGTGCTCTGAGGCTTCCTCCATGACGAAGCATGTAATCTCATGGGAATATCAAACATGTAATCTCGTGGGAATATCAAATGGTCTATGTAGCATACATAATAAAATAACAGAATTTTGGAGCTGAAAAGATGTTTAGCTCCAAAGGCATCTGCACAGATGCCTTGTCCCTTCTATCAATGTTATGACTGCTTTGGGATCCAATCCAGAATTTCCTTATTTCAAAAATGCCACATGAATAAACCTCAACATTTTAGTTATTTGCCCAGTATTAGCAAAATTAGCTCTAGTCAAGCCAGAAAGAGAAGACTCTGAGGAACAATTTTTAAGAATTTACTCTTCACTCAGGCTTATCTAATTTTCACAACATAGTATTTGTGTATGAGTCACTTAAGAAGAAAAAAATGTGTTTTTAAGTTTAGATCTTCAAGTATTCACTTTTCAAAAAGTGAAGTATATCTGTATCATTTTTATTATTAACATTTTAATAAAATCAGTATGCTACATTTTTACATTTGGGTCAGAGATTCAATCAGCCAATTTTCCGTTGCTTAACTTACCTGGATTACTTAAAATTGGATAATGCCAGATTGCACGATCCGTGGCACAAATTTTGGCTTTGACTATAGTAATATATGACAAATTTATCATTGATTTAAACTCTCTCAAATGCATATCTTTAAATAAAATATTTGTTTGAAATTCATATCACAACTTTTGAAAGTTATTTTCTATAATTTGATTGTTTATGTATTTTGAGTAAAACCATCACTCTGTAACATTTAGAGATATTTATAAGATATTGTCCTATTTTGGAGAGATGAAGTAAACAATTGATAAGTGAAACACATTCAGAAGTCCTCCATACAATGTTCTAATTGCTACCTATAAATTTTAGCTTGTTGGAGAGGCCTCTCTCAAGTTCCTTTACTGTGTTTTTCATACGTGGTATAGAAACTTAATAAAGTTAACTCTACCCACCTCCCTTAGATGCATTCCTAACTACTAGCCAACAAAAAGATGAAACTTCAGAAACATTTTTTTCCATTTCTCAAAGGCCACCACTGACCACCCAATTGCCAAATACAGTGGCTTTCTGGTCCTAATCCTACTTGGCCTCCCTGACACTTTTTATTCATTCCTTCTTGAAATTCTTCTTTCTTAAATTCTGAAATATAAATTGTTAAACAACAGCTCTGTGTTTTGCCTGCTGAAATTTCGTGCTTTGAATCACCTGACGCTGCCGGCCAATTTTGATGATTTTGCGAACTCCTTTGTCTGATGTCAATGGGCTTCTGAGCTTGTTCCAAAAGTGACCGCTGAGGAACGCTAATGAAAAGACAGAAAAGCATGTTCCATGTCCTAACATTCATAAAGGAAATGTACAACTCAACATAAAGTCCAGCACAAAGTTTTGTATAAATATATGGATATATATCAAACTGAAAAAGAAGATCTTAAGTAATAATTTCCAATTTCGATTTCCCCCAAACTTGCTATTTTGTGTAGAATAGAGTAACAATTTCCAAAATAAAAAAATATGTTTCCATAGAGTATGTTTTCTTTACATATATATTAATTTCTAAAAATTTCTATAAGCTTTTAAAGCTAATATTCAGACAATATTACCTGAGTAACACAGCAATAGACATAATCTTATAGTGTATGTGAGTATTTTAACATAATAAACAAAGTAAGTTACTGTTATGTCATATATTCTATTGTTATTATCTAGATTTTAAGTGCTTGAAATTCATGTTTTTAACATCCCATTCATGATTTAGATAGCTACACTGACAAATAGAGCACTTTCATTCTTACTATTCAGATTTAAGGAATATCTAGAGAGTTGCTTTGGACTAGTGCTGCTAAGTTTTATAGTTATTGTGGCATTTATATATGGGAAGGACTTTGGTTATTGATTTAGGCCTGGAACAGACAAAAGTTTTTCAATGGCCCCAAATTTCAGGAAAGACTAGAGTTTCACTAAATTTTATAAATTTAAATATATTTAAAGGTAACATATTTGCTATTAATAAATTCAAAATCCTTTTGTAAAGTGAATAATTACTCTGAGTTTAATACCAAGTGTGGTTTTTATATATTCGATTTTATTAAAGTCATATTCCATTATACCAAAACCAACTACTCAAAACTAAACTGTTTTCTTTCCTTTGAAGTCGGATAGACCATGGCAACCCATTAACTGAGTACAGAGAAAAAGAAATTTCCCAGTCTTGCTTTCATAATTTTTCAAAATTTCTATACTTCAGTTAAATCTGAAGACATAATTGTATGGGGTTTTTAAAATAACGAAGCAGGAAAATATATACTACATAATGTTAACTGTATGACATCTGACCATACTGTCCAATATCTTGAGTATAGTGAGTGTTCGAGAAGTATTATATATATTTGCTGACAGTGAATCAATATAAGCTAAGTTTTCTCTATTATAAATTGGGGCTCAACAGGGTATGATTTCCTTAAAACAATCTACCTTAAAATTTGGTTTTCAAATATAACACATTGCACACAATATCTAAAATGTAGAACATGATCTTTGAAAATTATTGAAGATCACCAATATTACAAAGATAAAAAAATACAGTGAGTGATATCAATATTATATATGACATTTTCATATAATATTGAGTTTTAGATTTGATTTTGACTCTAGGACACTTTTAGGCTTACTCATTCTGTGATAATTAGCTTCTGATATAAATAATTTGTATGTATATGGTTTATCATGCAGTACATGTATGAAAATTCACTTGAAATTTCATGTCTTTTCATCGACTACTAATTGAATACTGTCAAAGTATTTGTTGTTAGTTTCACTTTAAAATTGTGGATCTAAATATCCCAGAAACTGAAGTATGTCCAAATGTGAAAGATATAGGTAATAGATCATTGCAGTTGAGGTTTTAAATGTGGACCAATAGTCAATGGTGATAACATTGTCATTGACATTTTAGTTGATTTCACAAAATGTGGTATCAATGAAATAATTTTTATTTTCCATTCTGTAATTCATTTTGAGAAATTTTAATATAGAAATCAAAGATACATACCTTGAAGAGAACTTCACATGATTTGCATGATCCTGGTTGTTAGGCACAGAAGGAGATCTCTCTTGAACCTTAAAGACACAGTACAATACTTCAGTAGAATTCTCGATAAATTCCTTGGAGCCATTAATGTGTGGGAAAATGTCTGTCTTCATATATGTTTTCCTAATAGTCTAACTCATAAAATATGATTTTAATAAATAGATACTATTTTATAATTACTTATAACATTAGACTTGCTTAACCTTAACATCTGATGGTATCTTTGATCTTTAGTATAGGAACAGATTCTGGAGCTCATATAATCAAAATCTTAATTTATTGTTGAGGAATTTGTAGTCCAAAGAGAGAAAATTGACTTTTCTAAGAATTTTATATCAAGTCAAAGGAACATCTAACAGCAGAATGTAGGCCTCCCAACTTCTAATTTAATGTTCTTTACATGTTATCACATTTCTTTTTGTATCAAGTTTAAACTTGTCACTCAGAATTTAAGTTCAGATTCTTACACACTCATCCTTTTATGTTATCCCTAGATTTTCCAAAGTTGTCACACACACCCACATACATTTTATTAAAATCTCTTGAGTCAAAACTGTCCCATCTTTAAGAAAGTAAGAAAGTATTTTTTTCTGCTTTACAATTTGACTGCACTATCATAATTAGTGTTCCAAGTACTGTTTCAACTCTAAAATTAATTTGTATTTTACTAATCATGAAGTCATTGAATATAGCCCCATACTCAAGAAAGGGTGCATGTAATAAGCTAGCTTCCATCAATAGGGGAAATTTACTTTCTGCCAATATCGGTAGACAGGGCCAGGGAATGTTGTTTTGCTTCACTTAGTCTTGTATCACCACGCTTCTACTCAAAGCCGTTTTAGCTGCTCAAAACGTAGGTAATTCTGACATGCAATAAGTCAGTCATACTAGATTCTTTAAAAAGGACATTTCGACATGTTACTTTTTAAATCTAGCATATTCATGCTGATAAATTCATTTTATGCTTTCTAGAAATTAGAGTAGCCTTAGTGCAGTATTTTTTCTTTATGAAGTGACTTATCAAGGCTATGTCTACATTACAAGAGACAGGTAGGTAAGGGTAAGCATCTGCTGATTTTTTTTTTCACTTTCAATTCATATAATTGGAATCATATGACCCAGTCTGGGCTTTTTGGTTTACGAAGTTGATCTTAGGAAGTTTATTGGCACTACTTGAGTAATTTGGAGGACAAAATTACTCAAAATAGGTAATGGCCAAAAATAAAAAAGATAATGCCAAATATAAATTGGCTGTATTTAATTTCAAAACTGGGGAGAGAAAAATGATTAGTAAGAATAGCATATACTAAGATAATGATGCATTTCAAACCAGACATAGCTCATTACATTTCCTGCTTAAGCCATGCTTAAGGTAATAATTATTACCTGAGAGTATGAGCAAAGTCATTTAATAAGGCAAATAAAAAGACATATTGCCTCTTTTAATTAAACAATACAATCTGGCTTATGTTCTTTCTGCCAGTGGTTAGTATTTATATATTTTTTGGGCTGGGCGCGGTGGCTCAAGCTTGTAATTCCAGCACTTTGGGAGGCCGAGGCGGGTGGATCACGAGGTCAAGAGATCGAGACCATCCTGGTCAACATGTTGAAACCCCGTCTCTAGTAAAACTGCAAAAAAAACACAAAAAATTAGCTGGGCACGGTGGCGTGTGCCTGTAATCCCAGCTACTCAGGAGGCTGAGGCAGGAGCAGTGCCTGAACCCAGGAGGCGGAGGTTGCAGTGAGCCGCAGTTGTGCCATTGCACTCCAACCTGGGTAATAAGAGCGAAACTCCGTCTCAAACAAACAAACAAACAAACAAACAAACAACAACAAAAAAAAAACAGTACTTTTTGTTATTCATTTCAGAGGACTGTTAGTATTAGGGGGATTGTATTTAAACAGGAGAATTGTCTACAAAAGACTTCATAGTAGACTCCTGTGAAACATCTTGTGCTGATTAGGAACAATGAGGCTCCTGACCCACCATCAATAAGGCAAGAGTTTGAGTTCTTCAGGCACTCACCTAATCTACTTGGTTGTTCAAAAAATCTACAAAAACATTGTTTTAGATGGCTGTTAGGAACACTGGCTGTAATAATGATGGTACCTTGTCTAGACAAGAAAACCTACAACTCTGGCCTCTCCAATATATGTACTAAATAGGATATTAATATAGTCATGAAAACAGAAGTCAAGTGTACACTAGGGCTAACTTAATTATTCTTATAATTGTAAAAACAAAAAACAAAACAAAACAAAAACCACAGATTAAATAACCCAGACTCTGTCACGAACTACATCCCCGACCAGAGAAAATCAAGGAAAAATACTTTGTGATTATGTTACAAATTGAAACCACCAGCATTTTTCATGTACAATAGTTTTGCTTAAAGAAAGACTGACAAACTATGATTATTCAGACTATGGGTATTTGGTAGACATTTTATTTTTGATGAATAAAAGTAAGCCTGTCAATTTAAAGGGAAAAACTGATGCTATAATTTAGCAATGATAAAATTTGAGCTTGCAAAGGAAAATTAGAATTTTCAAATATATCTGCCATGAAGCACTTGACAACTTAATATTCAATAACTTTTATGATAAACTTGATGGTGATATTAACAAATGCTGTTCTTTGATCTTGTATAATGAAACATGTAAATGTCTGGGAAGATCTACATACAAAGTGAACCAATATTTTTCAACTGACCAATGCATGAAGTTGAAAATCATGCATCAGCAAAACATTTATTCACAGCATAAGATAGACCAATGGGTTTTATTATTAACTGAATATACAAAATTTCATTGATATGGTTTCAGATTCCACTTCTCTAGTTTTGGTATATTATTAAATAATTTACTCAAGTATCTAAACAATCTATGAAAATTCTCCCTCTCCAACTTCTTCTATGTGAGAAGCCAGCTTTTATTCATATACTTCAACCAAAACAACATATGGCAACAGATTGAAGATGTGGAGAATCCAGCTGTTTTTCATTAAGCAAGAAAGATTTAAGAGACATACAAAAATGTAAAACAATGTCACCCTCTAAAATTTTGTTTTGGAAAAGTACAGGTTTTTTTTTTTTCATTAAAAATGTGTTTCTTATGCTAACATGGAATAGTTTCATTACTTTTAAATGAATTACAATTTTTAATGTTTTTCAGTTTTAATTTAATAAGTTAAATATCAAATGACACAATCCATGTAATAAACGAAGCTTTTTGAGATCCTCAATGTTTAAGCATATAAGGGGACACTGAGATCAAAATTTTAAGAACCACTGTTCTGCGTTTTTACTAATGTCACAGCAACTCATTTTGAAAGATTTACCTCAATTATTTTAGGATTTGAAATGCATGGCTGCAGTGGTTCTATTTGGACTTCAGCCTGAATCGAATGAAAGACTTCATCATTGTCTGATGATTCGTCTTCGTTGTCCTTTGAAACAAAAAGGAAAGTAACCATTTTAATTGTCAAAATGCAAGGGATAGGAACAACTTCATCATCTTAAAACATAATTTAAAAGAATAATATCCAAATAATAAAAATGATTTAAACCAGTAGTTTTTAATAGTGTTTAGTTCTGGATCCCTTTCAGAATCTGAGAAATGCTATAGATTGTCCACAGAAAACTGCATATAGACAAACATATTACATATATTTTCTGATGGATTGCTGACCTCTCGAAGTTCATCTACAGGGTCCAGGTTAAGAATCTTTCGCTTAAAGCTTGATTAACTCATAACACCAAACTAACTGTCACACTTAGCAAGCGATTATAACTTCAAAGTTTGGTCTTCCTGAGCAATGCAAGATTTGTTATACAGTGGTGCAAATATTTCTCCCTAATTGAGCTCTAGGAGTTTAGGAAACTGTTTTCCCCTTTAATCCAATCAATATTCTCTCTTCAACTGAAATATTAATAAAAATGCAATTTTTGTTTCCTGCTGATTACTTGAAGCAGTCACCTATGTCTCTCAACTCTAACAAAATTTCGGGTATTTCAAAAGATCTGTGACTTTGACTATATTATCAACGATTTTTTTTTGCCTTTATATTTTCTTCAGTGACCACATACAAAGATATAAATGTTTGTAGAAGAGCCTAGTGTCATGAGATTTATAACTATTATTTATTGACTTTTATAAATTTTAGAATGGCTTTCCGCATACATGTTTAAAACAATAAATGACAATAAGTGTGTGCCATGCTGGTAACAATGAACCTTTCAGAGATCAATAAAAGACTTATTCATATATATAAACCCATTAGATTTAATTGATTACTAGGGTTCATTGAGAATAATCATTAGCATTTTAGATGAGCTAGTTTTACCAAATGTCATGATTCTAGACTTAAACCTCTCCCTTCACCATCTAGTTTCTTTCTCTTTATAGTTCCCCCTTGTTTTTCCTCAGAGCTAGACATCCGTTTTCCCTTTTGAGACTTGCTTCTCTTGCTGCTTCTACCTTTTCTCCTGTTAAACATGTCAACAAATTGGCATTTGTTTAATTGGCTCAATATGCACAAACCCAAAGAATTCCTTATCTAGATACTCAGATATAATTCATTTGTAATTACTACATCGATTATTATTAGGGAAATAGATGGGGATATCAGGGTTTAAGTTTGTATCATCACAATGATTCCTTTTACTCAAATATGGGTGGAGTATTAGAAAACGACTCCTCCCCTAATCTTATCTAACCTCATTAATTTGTTTTTAAGCCCATAACTCTTCATTATCAGTTTGGAATCTACAAGATTAAATTCAATAACTCCAGTAAAATCATATCCATTTTATATTAAAGAATTTTTGAAACAATTACATTTTAGTGACTGTTCCTAGATAAAATGGAGTTTAACATAGTGTATTCCGCATTTCAAAACGGTACAGATGAAACCACCACTATTAACTTATAAAATTAATCACAGAAGAAGAGAGGGGAAGAAACAAAAATACACCAAGCTTGCAGCACATTTAGCATTACCCTTTAGGTCAGCTTGCTCTCTGGCCTCCTTCTTCAATAGGTGTTTTTGGCCTATTTTCCTAGAATCACGTAGACCTTGTTGCAACATCATCATTCCCCTTAACTGCTCTGTAGATAACAACTTGAACATTACGAAATGTTGTTTTCCCTTTGAGATATTTTTTCAGGTCTTTCATACCAGTGAAACTACCGTCAATCATCTGGTCTGAAGGACCCCACTGACGTCAACTGGTCTGAAGGACCCCACAAGAAGCTGCCTCACCAAAAAATGCAGTTTCTAAATCCTGATGATTTCAAGGACCATCAACCTTGCCCTGACCAATCAACAACTCCAATTATCCAGCACCTCACCCTCTACAATCCTCTTAAAAACCCCAGCCCAGAACTCCTCCAAAAGATGTATTTGAGGGTCTCCTCCCCACATCCTAACTCCATGCCCTGCTGATCATTAAGCTTTTCCTCAGCTGCATCACTGCTATATGTGTAATTGGTCTGTTACTATGCAGTGGACATATGAACCTGTTGGTCTTATAACACAGAGAACAATTTGTAAATTGTTTCATGTTCTGTGAGGCCACATAATTGATTTATTATGTAAAATTGGCAGCACATTAGTGAAACAAGTCATAAATATGGTAACCATACACAAAATATTTTGGAAACTGCTTTGCCTTCTCATTTTAAACTTGATTTAAACCTCCTGTAGTACTATTCACTCAAATAGTATAGTTCAGCATTCTATTGGAAGAAATAATAAACGAACTTACAGATTAGAGTAATAAAACCAAATTTTGTTTTGTGCTTGTTTTTTAATGAGTTATCTTTGACATTTTAAATTATGAACGTAATTTTTTAAGATCCAAAGTAGTAATTTTAAATGTGCATTTGTTGACCCTTGACTGGTTAAAGGAACAGACAGAAAATTAATAATTAAAGCTATATTTCAGTAGAGATACTGAAAAATATTTTTCTCATAATTAGTCACAAGTATCTACGAATTTCAAGAAAATTTATTTGAAGTACAAATTATTTAGTATATTTTCTGTGGAACATAATAAGTATTTATTTCATTTGTTTTTTTTTCTGAGAAAAAAACATCAGCATGAGCTATCACATTTTCTCTTCATTTCTGACTCAGAGTAAAAATATCAAAAACTCTTACTTTATCAACTTGTCTCAATTCTTCCTCGTGCTGATTAAAGACATCTTCCCATCTGTGCTGGCGCCTTTGCCTGCGGGCTTCTAAATCTGAGAGCTCAAGCTCTTCAGGTTTTCTTGATGACTTTGCCCTGAACCTCTTTGGTGATAGTTTTTTTGCCAGTGCTTGCCTTAGACTAGAAACTTTTGATTTTTTCTTCCGTGCCTGTTCTGGTTGTGAGTAAAACCTATTTAATGACAGATTTTCCATCAGGGTTTGCAAAGGACCAAGTGGCTTTGAGCTATTTGAGTTTGGTGCTCTAAGCAAGTCTCTTGAGAGTCCCTCTATCAGTGCTTGAACTGAGTCAATTGCCTGTGGGGTTTCTAGTGTCCAAGCCTGTGCCTGAGGCGATCCTTCAGTTTGCCCCTCTACTGGAATGAGCACCTGAGTATCCAAATGTAGTGGCAACAGAACATGGTGATTTTGTGATAGCAGGGGCAGGAATAACTGGGCATGTACTCGTAATGACTCAGGCTCCTCTGCCTCAGCCTCTGCCTGTGCAGGCTCAGCAGCCTGTTCCTGTACCTCTGGCTGTTCAGGTGCCTGGTTCTGCTCCAGCTCTTGTTCAGGTACCTGGTTGTGTCTCTGCTGTTGTTCAGGGGCCTGGCCCTGCCTTTGTTGTTCAGGTACCTGATCGTGCCCCTGAAATTCCTCCGGTACCTGGTCCAGATCTTGTGGTTCTGATGCCTGGGTCTGAGTCTGCTGCTTTTTGGGTACCTGGGCCTGTACCTGTAGAAGCCTAGGTGTCCTACCCTGTACCTGTAGTGGCATGAGCACCCGGGCTGCCCTCTGTAGTCGTGGAGGTGCCCTTATCTGCATTTGTAGAGGTCTAGAGGCCTTAGACTTCATCTGAGCCTGTAGTGGCCTGAACACCCGAGCTGCCCCTTGTAGTCGTAGAGGTGCCTGAGCCTGCCCCATTAGAGGACTGGGTGCACTGTCCAGAGCCTGCAGTGGCATGAATAGCCTGGCTGCTCCCTGTAGCTGCTGAAGTGCCTGGACCTGTGGTTCTTCTCGATCTGGTAGCCACCTTGGCTGAGAGGGTTCTCCATGCAGGACTCTAAGTGGTCTGCATCTGCTGCTGGTTGGCAATCTGAGAAGCTCATGAGTACAAGAGGGTCCTCTAAAATAAACACACAAATAATGGGCGTACAATTAGAATTTTTAGTGGAATGGAGCCATTCAGGGGCATTGTTTTTACTTTAAAAGATGGAAATTTTCTGCAATGAAGATACCTTCAATAAATCTTTCTGAAATCGTTCCCTTAATGTCTGAAATATTCTGAAGGTAACATTTGTATTACTAATGTATTCAATTATTAATGAAATCTGATATCTATTGATCATTCACTTGCCAGATATTAAGGAGTCTTTGGGTAATAATAAAATATTCTCTTTACATTTTCACTTAATATCTCTTAAAAACAGAGATTTGTTATTTGTTGTATCAGAAAGAATTCTTTCTGAATCAAAAGCAACAGTATGGAATCAACTGCCTTACCTAAATTTCTATCGTCAAATTATATATGCACTTTGTGGAACGCACCTGAATCTTCTCATGGTGTACTGTTCCTTAATAGCTTCTTCTTTTTCAAAGATCAGAGGTATTTCTTTTTTTTTAGGAAAGAGAAAGAGAAAATAGCATATAAGCATGTTATCAGCTTTATTCACATTGTTCCCTCTACTTCTCAGGACGTGGAGTGAATTACAAGGGCAAGAAAGTAGCCCTTTGAACACACTTGGTTTGTGATGTAGACAATATTCTAATTTCTAGGCCCATTTTAAAGCACAGTATAGCCATTGCATGCAGATTAATTTCTCTGAACAGAGAAAAGAAAATTTAGCTATCTGATTTCTGCAATTCTAAAGAGAAAGAAGAGAGAATGGGACAAAGGGAGAATGAGACAAGAGAAACTCCAGATAGTGGTGAGCATTGCTTACAGCTGTGAGCTTTAGATGTAAGGACTTTATGGCTTGAGTTGATATTTAATCTTTTCAATGAGAAGGCAAATTCTTAATTCTGTGCTTTACACTAAACACATTGAAAAAATTCAGCTTCTTTCCTAACAGCTGTGCCGTTAACTATTGAAATATAGAGGCTTACAAACAAAAGAGTTTTCTTTTGAATTTCCTGTATTAAAATGATAGGGCAACTATATTTATACCTTTAGTGTGACTTTCATATAAATGGAACTTCTCCTGCAGGTAAAATTTTGGAAATTTTGCAACTCTGAAAATTAGCAAATTACCAAGTAGATGTGCAGTTTTCCTGCACCCATTTGAAACTGGCTGGTCTTCTGTGACATTGGTTCAATAACTTTATTACCATAGGGAAATAAATTAATTGTTGCTGCTCCTTATCTCGAAACAGGTTACATGTACAGATGTAACAAGCCCCACTGCAATCAACCCCACAGCTGATATGAGGATGCTTGCTTTTTCAGGTTTTCCCTTCTACATTCCATTGTTACTCTCAACTCTGCCTATGGTCCCCAAAATCAAATGTGAAATATGTAACATAACATATAAAGTTAGAACTTCTCAAGTGGCTTCTTCTAGACTTGGTAAAAATCCATCCTGCCATATTTATTTTAATTTTGGGGTGGCAGGGTCTTTCTCTGTCACCCAGGCTGGAGTGCAGTGGCACAATCTAGGGTCACTGCAAAATCCTGACATTTAAAATGAAGTTCACTTTTATTAATAGACAGAAGTTTATGTTTATTTGTATAAATTAGTTCTTTTAATTACATCTTATATCTGGAGTTTAGTACATAAAACGAGTTTTATATGGTACACAAATACTACTTCAAAATTAGTGGTCAATAAATGGTTCATTACAAATCCATTTATCTCTTGTCAACATGTCAGCTGAAAAAAAACAGTAGCATATACGTTTTGTTACCTTTTATCTTTCATTTATTTTAGTTACTTAAAGTTGGCATATCACAAAATTTTACTGGAGGTTTTCAAGGTCTCTGTAAATATGAATATGTTCCAGGTGTAACTGGCAAGAATTAGTGACTATACACAAAAGCACACAAACACACATACAAACACACACACTCAGGCAAGAGTTAATGAATTAAATAAGAGCATATGGTATATTCTTGGAAAAACTAAATATCGAAGGCCTCAGAAGTTTTACTTTCAACCTAATTCTTAAACAAATATTATTTTTTCCTGGAAACAATACATGAACAAACTCTGAATATTCATTTCATTAAAATAAAACGTTATAGATTCTACCTTTTTTCTGTCTTTTTTTAATAATTCCAGTAAGATGCCTCGTTAATGACTCAACAACATGTCGCTCATTTTTTATATCCCGAACAAATGGGTGATGAAGCATGTTTGCAGAAGTAGGACGAAACAGAAAATTTTTTACCATACACTTTTCCATGAAATTGTGGAACTTACGCGACCTAAAAGAAATGAGTCCAAGAGAAAAAAAAGTGTTCTCAAGCCTGCCAGACCTCTTCCCACCACCACCCACATGCCTCTCTGAAAATCATATTTAGAGAGAGTTGCCTTTAAGTATCATTGTCTTTTCAATTGTCAAATATCCTGCAGTTTGGCAACATACATTATACAGTGAGCCCATTTAGACCTCAGGAAAAGAAGAAAAAGTCAATAGCATTTACCATCTAAATTACAGTAGAAATTTCAATGAGTTAACCATATGCACCTGGTAAAATCTCAAGTGCAAATATATGATTAAGTGGATAATCATGTAATCTGCAACACTAGATTCATCGTCCCACAGCACTCACACTCTGTATTTTTCATTTGACTCTATGCAGTTTTAACTAAAGAAGAATAAATATAATGATCCAAAAAGAGGATGTTAAAAGCGCCCCGACTAACTAATCTTGAAAAATGACTTGTAAAAATAGATGTGGCTATAAAGACTGAATCCATGGAAAGGGTTAAGTTGAATTGCAATGCAGAATGTTAGCAATCAAATAACAGTCACCACTTCTACCAAGGAAAGCAATAGTAACTAATATATGCAAGAGCTTCAGGTACAAGATCAACAAACTTTAGAGAGAAGAATTCCCAAGTTTAGCTGGCATGTAGTATCCTGGGAGAATAAGTCTTCTGCTCTAGGTCTGTGTATGTTTAGTTTAAATGACTAATTAACAGGGTTGCATATAACTGACTGCCTATGTAAGCACCGCAAATAGTTCCATTAGTTCATCCCAATTCTGTGGAAACAACTGAACGTGCCCATTAATGGCAGTAGAACAATAGCATCAGAAAATACTATAGAGGATATTAGTTATTTATACTTGGCTAGCTACTTCTTAATGAAAACTGGTCATTCAAACCTCCCAGTTAAGATATTTGATTTTAGAAAATATTGTCCAACAAGGATGGTGGAGCGGGAGTGACCAAATGAGTTAAAACTTCTTTGCTAACATAAAAATGTCAAGTCAATGTACTTAGGAGATTAAAGTATTCATCTTTACCATCCGCTGGATTTGACTGTGGGTGCAGATTCCTGCAAAATAACGAAGAGAGCTTCCAAGGGTTGAAGGTTACACAGAGCTGCAAAGGGAAATAGATAAATTTAAAAAAAATGGGAAGGTTAACTAAAGAGCACACTCCTCATTCCAGAGGGATTTCTCAGTAATCTTTCACATATAATGTTTAGTTTCCACTAAGGGGCGAATAAATACAAAAGAATGTATTTAGAAAGAAATGGAAAAGCTTGTTTTAACACAATTTTGCAATATATGAGATTCTCAAGTTTCACTATCACCAGGTAGTATTAATTAATAATAAACTAAAAAACATATTTGAAATGTATAGTTGATAATTTATATCTAGAAAAGTTAACTGAAAGTAAAACAAGCACACTTCTGTAATTTTGTATTGGAGGTGTTTAGTTATAAAATTGGGATATATAATTATAGACTGAAAAAGTCAACCAGACTACTATTAAAGTACAACAATATATAAATAACAATGGTTTAGTAGTCTTGAAAGCTGAGAAGAATCTGTTCTGGAAGCTGACAGTTACAGAAAAAACGATAGGTATAGCGCAACTGTTAAGAGTACACCACCTAGAGTAAGATCGTTTGGGTTCAAATCTAGCTTTACCTTTGTGACTTTGGGCATATTACGTAACCTATCTGTATCTTGTGTTCTTTTCATCTGAAAAACAGGAAATGTAGCAGGAGGAATCCCTTCAAAGAATTGCTGTGAGGATTAATTAGCAACTTACAAGTAAAAGTGTCTTTACCTCATAAATATATACACCACCTAAATACCCACAAAAATTTTAAAAATAATTTTTTAAATTCCCCCAAAAGTATCTGACATGTAGTAGATGCTAAATAAATATCAGCTATTGACATTATAATAAAGATTTTAACCCTATGGCACTTTGAGACTGTGCCAAATTACTAGACCTTTCATTCTCTCTTTCATGCACACAGGCATAAAAAGAAAAGCCTATTCCAATATGTGCTATATAAATTAATTACCTCATTGGTTTGGGAATTTTGTTTTTTTCTATAAGTGTTTAAGTATGTCTAACTTTACTTATTTCCTCTTGTGTTGTGATTAAAGAAAATTGGCAGTGCAAAACATCCCCAATCGAGAACCATAGTGTCAATTTCGTCTAACATTATAAGTGTGCCATTCTTGTGAGAATAACTTGATATTAATGACTCTTATTAGAGCAATCCTTTCTCTCCCAAAATGCATCCTCAGATGCAAACCTAAAGTGACAAACTGGCCTCTCATAGTAGTAGACAAAAACTCCATAGGGTGATTTTACTAGGGCTATACAAAGGGAATTGTTTAAAGGTCAAGCTTTGTTTTCAAATACATGGTTATAAATTCATAGAAGGTGCATTTTTATAATTGAAGGCAGAATAAGCTCCAAGAACAAAAGATCAGGATCATATTTAACTCTTTTAATTCTTTTATTGTGTCCAATCAGTCTCCAGGTTCTGTCCTTTAAACATATTATAAGTGAGTTTGTACAATATTAAACAATGGTCATTTATTAACGTCTGAGCAACAGTCAGTCCACTGACAACATCTTCAGGGGTCAAGAGCTAGGACACAGACTAGGTAAGTTTTCTTTAAAGGAAAAGTTTACAAAGGAATGGAGCATAGGGTAGGTACAAGAGCTACGTCAACAGAAGCTGTTTATGGTTTCTTATATAGTCTAATTTTAGGAATGTCAGTAACTGCCCCCTCCAACCCATATCTCATAAAACTACCTAAATGTTCATCATTAGAGACTCATTCCTTGAACTCCCAACCTCAGGTGATCTGCTCACCTTGACCTCCAAAGTGCTTGGATTATTGGCGTGAGCCACCACGCCTGGCCTTAGAGGCTCATTTCTTTGAAACAGCAAGGCTTCCTTAAAAATCACATTATCTTTTGAAGGGTAGGACACATATTAAACTGAGCTTAGTTTGAATTCGGTTAAATAATGTGGTTTATTCTTAACACATGTTGAGATCTGAGGGAATCTTCTGAATATTGAAGGAATAGGCCTCTTGATGGGACAGGCGTAGATTTGAGCCACAATGCATTCAGGTAAAAGTTGACATGGGATGTGAGAGAGCGATGCTACAAGGAATAGAAGTAGGACTATAAAGAAGCATCATTGACAATATTTAAAAAGATCTACAATATCAAGGAGAATGCAAAAATAGGGAAAAACATGGCCCAGTTTAAGGCAAGTTGACTGGTGTACAGCTTTGCCAAGAAAGGGGAGTCAGGGTGAACTGTTGATCCTATCCTCCTTCTCCTCCAGGAACAGTTTATCTTTTCTATAAAGGATAGGGACTAAAAACCACATCTATTCAAAATTAGCCTATGATACTCCGATGTTTGGATGGTTACTAGAAATGTTTTGGCCTTGGTTTAAAGGTCTTCATATAATTTGAATTACTACCCAGAACCTAGGGACTGAAGGAGGTCCTGGTTTGTAAATGTCCAGTTCTCTATTTCTAGAGCCCCTACAACAGTGGTCCCCAAACTTTTTGGCACCAGGGATCAGTTTCGTGGAAAACAGTTTTTCCATGGACCTAGGGTTAGGGGGTTGGTTTGGGGATGAAACTATTAAACCTCAGTACAGCAGGCATGAGTTAGATTCTCATAAGAAATATACTACCTCGATCCCTTGCGTCCTCAGTTCACAATAGGATTCCCACTCCTAGGAGAATCTAATGCTGTTGCTGATCTGACAGGAGGCAGAGCTCAGGTGGTAATGTTTGCTTACTTGCTCGCCACTCACCTCCTGCGGTATGGCCCACGCACTGGGGGCCCATGCCCTATGGCATCCTATCAGGGAGAAGTTATTCTTTCTCTCTCTTTACTTCTCTGGAAAAGATTCACCAAAGGAAGACAATTTTGTTATCTGGACCTCAAAGGATATTATCAGATAATTGTCACTTTGGAAGGCCATTCCTTCTGAGATAATAATGATCATAACCTGGAGGATTTGTGCAGTTAAACAGATGACAATTATTTTCACATAAAATTAATATTCCAGGCAATAAAGAACACCAGTGAAGGAGAAATGTTTTCGTAGGGAGGCCATTTAGAGATGCTCTTGACCAAAGTTGTACTATTCAAATTATTGATCCAGGAAGGCCAGCCCTATTTTCTCTTTGTGAATTCCAAATCTCCTGGTCCTCACTTATCTTTTGTAAGAAGCTTGCAATTTGTGTAAACTGTGCAAAATTCCTTCGCTGCACTCCTGTGAGTTTGCTCACCAATACTTTTTTCCCATAAATTAATTTGGAATGAAAAAAAGTGAAACAAACAAAGATGACTCAGGAAGTATAAACCGCAAAACATAGAAAGTTGGTTTTCCGAAAAGGCATGCTGAGGAACGCTCAGAAACAATGGGAAAAATATACATGCAGACATGTATCCTAACCAAACCCATGCATCAATACTAAGATGAAATACTAGTTGCCGCTGCTCAATTTAACATAATCTATGTATCTTTCCCAAACAGAAATAATCAAGAGATGATGAGGAATAGTCCACATCCCCTCAGTATCATTTCAATTTTATATATGTGTCATATGTAATCTTTTTACATTTTAATATTTCCTATTATTAATTTTTTATTCACCCAACGAAGGTACTTGGCTGAATTGGGGGCACTATAATAGAGGCAGAAGCAACATGATCTCCACAGGTGTCCTAGCTTTATCCCAGCTCCTCTTGGATATTCCAAGGGGATAGCAGGAATTCTCAAAAATTATGTTACCATGATTTCTATTTCTTGAAATTCCTCTCATTGGCTGTGAAACTAAATGCTAAGATGTTTCAAATTCATAAAACTTGATGGGTGGACATTTTGCAGATAGAGCATACATGAACATGGGAATCTATAGAATCTGCTTTGGAGAGGGGAAAGCAAAGCAATCCTCCCCACACCCCACAGGGCATTTTTTTTTTCACTTCTCATTCAACAATACGAGAGATGTATTGTCATTTTCACTTTTGGGTTTTAGTTACTGAGGACAGCAAATATACTACGCTCTGGAGGCACACATTAGATGGTTATCCATCATTTACACCCAAGTTCACATTCCATTTTTACTTTCCTGTCAGAAAACAGTGCCTTGAGAGAACAGGGTGCTAACAGGTCATTTAAATGATGGGGAGGTAGAGAAAACAAGATGACATGGGCACTGAGGCAGCTGAAAGGAGTAAAAAGGGCACCAAAGGTAAGTTGGATTGACTCCAAAGGAAAAAAAAAACAAACTATATTTACTTCCTGAAATTTCTGAAGATTAGCTCAATTTCAATGAAATGCTAGAGAATTTTCTCAACTATTACAGCCTGAGGCAGTAGCAGTGTGTGGTTGTAAATGTTCTGGAATCTAAATATTCCACCAGGAAATACAGACTGGAATGCCAACCAGAATCCTTATTCTGGTTGCTCAGGACTGTCAGGACCAAATACTACTGAGAATAAATTGAAACAACACTCAGTCAATCTAAAACAAGCTATTGTAAAAAAGAAAAGCACAAGCTGATTTATATACCCACATGTAGCTATTCTGAGGAAAGCATTTGGTAATCACTGAAAAGGTCACCATTAGTAGTTTGGCACATAGTATGACACCTGTGTGGCCAGTGAAACTGAGCGGTACAAGTGGCAATCTCATCTTCTTCCACAGAGAGATATTTGTATGACTTGTATGGTATATATCCCTAATCTTTAATAAATATCAAACATTTTTACTCACGAGGAGCTCCTTCAGCCATTTCAATAGCAGTAATTCCCACAGACCACACATCACTCTGCAAAGAAAAACATGACCAAAAAAAATGTCACTTAAAAATAGGCAATTGGTAGTATTTAGAATCTCAAAACAATGTTTAGTTGGGGATGTAAATGCCAGTGCCAGAGCCGTTTTATGGCTTTCCTACAGTAAAGCTTCATTATAGAGTGACATTGTAAGAAGGCATAATCTGAGCTTGTGACCAGCCAGTACCTCACTACACAACAGGTTAATAGGGAATGGGGTTAAATGTAAGGAAAGTTCATCTTGGATGCATTGCTATTATTGCCTTACCTGAAATACCAAAAGAAACTTGCCGTAATGACATTTTATTACATAGACTCACCAGTTGTATCATCTTGGGCAAATGTTTTAACTCTCTGTACCTTAATTTCACTCTATGTAAAATAGAGATAATAATAGCATACATTTAGATAGGACTGGTGTGTGTGTGTGTGTGTGTGTGTGTGTGTGTGTGTGTGTGTATTTCAGCAGTTTCTGGAATATACTTAACTAAGGCTAGAACTATAAAGAGTTTCTAGAAAATTATCTTCACTACTATTAACCATTTAGTACTTTTTTTTTTTTTAGCATGGAAAGGGCACAGGGCTAGAGATACACTGGATAGCTAAATGATTCCTAAACAGTTTTGCTGAATTCTTTTGTTTTTCTTTGTGACAGGTTCTCACTCTGTCACCCAGGCTGCAGTTTGGTAGCTTAATCTGGGCTCACTGCAACCTCTGTCTCCTGGGTTCATGCAATTCTCCTGTCTCATCCTCCCGAGTAGCTGGGATTACAGGTGCCCACCACCAGGCCTGGATAATTTTTTTTGTATTTTTAGTAAAGACAGGGTTTCACTATGTTGGCCAGGTTGGCCTCAAACTCCTGACCTCAGGTCATCTGCGACCTTGTAGGTTAACTGGATTTTTAGAACCCCAGTTTATAGATTTTTTAGCTTCAGTTGCGATAGTCTAAGCTTAAGATTTCCTTCAATTACATGGTGCTAAAAACTAAAAAATAAAGCACGAATACAGGTGAAAGTCCTTGGAAGACTGCAAATGTATACAACCATAAAGCATTATTTTTATAAAAAGCCACTTGAAGAACTTTGTGCTTCCATAGTCTTCATAGCTTCTAACAGAGCACTAAACATAATAGGCTCTCAGTAAATAATCATTTTGCAGATCATGCAGAGGGCAGTTAAGGAAAGGGAAAAGGGATGAATCTCAATTAATCAACTTCAAGTATTGAGTCCTAGGTTCCACTCAGGGAGACCACAATTAATTGTTTGGATGACTTATGTGGGGAGTGAGTGAGATTTTTCCAGTCTATAGCAAATGGAGAGTTTTCTTTCCACATCAACTTTTTGAAATGTGTACATGGATGTATATTGTCCAAATTGCAGTTTCAGTGGAAATTTTAATAAATAGCAGGAATTGTTACTTAATTTGTCTATTCTACTGATTTTCTGTGGTTTTGGAGGTGAAACATGCCAAGGAATTTCTCCGTTACCCTGAGTAATCAAATTATTATTTTTTGTCTTTTCTGGAGCTAAGTTACTGTGAGGATTAATAATTGCAAGCAACGTAAACTACACATTCTGCCTCAAATGCAGGTAATTCTCAATGTTATACTTTGTCCACATTCTTAGAAAATATTATTTTATGCATATAATCAAACCACTTACTGAAATAGAGACTAGTATTTCCAACCAGCATGTAATGTAAAAGGAGGAGTTGCCTGCTTTTTATTTTTTATCATTGCAAAAAATGTTAATAAAAAATCCTTTCCAAATTGTAATTTCCACTGTCTGAATTCTCATACTCACCCTGTAATCATAGGAGCGTCTGGGGTCCTCATCACAGTCAATCACCTCAGGTGCCATCCAGTATGGTGTCCCAATGAAGCTATTCCTTCTTCCATTAGTTCTGCTCACCTGGGCACTCACTCCAAATCAACTGCCAAAATCATTATATGTCAAAATAATCAATCAGAAAGAAAAAGCTCAATAAGTTATTTCTTTAACTTGGAAAGCTGATACAAAAGCCACAATGGATAACAGATTTTCATTCTAGCCTAGCAAACTTTACCATGAAGTCTACTCCAGGAATACTGGGAATAGGCTTTTGCTGCTATTTATGTTGGAATGGACTCAGCAGTGCTATTATAAATCTACATTAGGTTTGGCTGAATGTTTACCATGAATATTGATAAAGTTCTGTCAGGACACTCTGAACCTCCAAAGTGATAACATATGGAATGTTTGGACCTGGCACCAAGCTGGAGGAAGACCAGAACTATAAGCAAGATCAAAGAAATCTGAAACCTATTAGCAGTTGATCAGGAAGCCTCACACATGATATTAGAAGGCTCTATCATGCTGATAAAGAAAAACGAGTTTTCTGCTAGAATTTAGTTTAAATTCCTACACAGATCTTTTGAATCAGATGCAGGTATTTATTGTGGTATCTATATCTTAGCTTAGATTATAAAAGTTCAGTCTTCTATTCATCTGTGGGATACATTTTAAGAAAATATTTGGTATGGTATCCTCAGAAACAGAAAAAAAGGCTAAAGTGGACTGGGGTTATTTATTCCAGAAAAAATAAAACAGGAATGAAAAATGAAGTAGATTTTCTAATTTAGAATGGTTTCCAGGAATCCAGAGGATGGCGAACAAAGCTGACTAAAAGCAGCTTCAGGAATTTAGGGAAGGAGAAGAAAAATGAAAAAGAAAAACCTAAGAGTTCAAGGCAGTTTTAAAGGGTCTAACAAGAACGACAACACCAAAAAAATAAAAAATAAATGTCCACAATATTTGTGAGGATACCATTGGCGGTTGTACAATGTTTTTATCTAGATTTTTTTAAAGAAAGAGGTTAAATAATAGCTCAGCATTCTCACTATCCCTGTGAACCGGCATTAGGGGCCAAGACATACCTATGAAGGCCATAAGTTTCTATATGGCATATATCCAGAGGAGAAAATGAAAGGAGAAGACTAGAAGACTGATTAATAGGAAAAAAAAAAGAGCAAGAGAAAGAGAACGAAAAGCCAAGATGAGATGAAACCTCAACAATGGCATAATTTAAACTTTCTTTCATGACTTTACAGGCTGGAATATGAAGTTCACTGAGTGACTGCAATTGCAATATAATCATTTTTCTATCTCTTTCCGTTCTATCACTTGCTTTGGCTATCATTAGGTTTGCTTTCTGCAACTTTCTCCTTATACTATATTGCTTTAAAACAGCTATAATCTAAAAAACTTCAAACAAATTGTACAAAACTTAAGTGTAAGATATGTGTGATTAAATTTTATAATGTGTTACTTAAAAATAGTGACAGTCTGAGTCTTCTAAAACAAATTGTACACATGGATTACACATAAAGTAAGTCTTATTAAACTCTAATCCAGCAGTAGAAGTTCTCTCCTTCAGAGAAAGTACATGAACTTTAGTGCACGGACATTGTGACAGATATTTCAGGGGCTTTTCTTTCATGTACAATTTCTCTTTTGTGTCGAAAATATTTGCCTTGGCCAGCAACTTGACACAAGTATATGAGAGTGTTGTTTTATATGCAAACAGTGTTTAGCCTTGTGATAAACTACCTGTCCTGCATATTAAAATGTGAAATATATATGCCCTTCAGGTATTTTTTATATTTTTATTATTTATTCATTTATTATTTAGAGACAAGATATGTCTCTGCTGCCTAGGCTGGAGTGCAGTGGCACAATCATAGTTTACTGCAACCTCAAAATCCTAGGCTCAAGTGATCCTCCTGCCTCAGTCTCTTGAGTAGCTGGGACCTCAGGTGGACACCACCATGCACAACTAATTAAACATTGTTTTTTAGAGGCAGGGTCTTGCTATGTTACCCAGACTGGTCTTCAACTCCTGGTCTCAAGTCATCCTCATGCCTCAGCCTCCAAAAGTGATGGGATTATAAGTGTGAGCTACTGTGCCTGGCCACTTCTCATATATTTTTAAATTGTGTTTCTAGCTTTGTAGCTTTTAGACAGGAACCAAAGAAGTAATACATTCTCTTAAAACTACTTTCACTTATTTCAAGGATAAACAATTACTACCTCATGTTTCTTCTGCAAGTGCTCAGTGAAAAATGTTTTCAATGAATAAACAAAATCTCTCCTCTTGTTATAAGTGTTTAGCAACAAAATGGGAAATATCTTAAGGTCATGTTCAGACACATGTTTACAAAGTGTTGAAAAATAATGTGAGTGACTTACCTTCTGTATCCATGGGGTTATCTGCCGCTACAAGGTACTGACATGATTTTTATAATATTATTCTGAAAACTATTGGTATTTATTTTACACATTAAAGGATAAAATATATTGTCCCTTATGTGCTTAATGACAAAAAAATCAGAAAATATGTGTGGTTATTTTCAAATAAGTTATAGCACTCTGAACTCAGGAATAGAAAGCTAGGTACTTCCAGCTTTTTTTAAAATTCATGATTCTGAATTTGACTTGGATATTATTGGAGCATCAATTTTGATCAATATCATTTCTTTGTATAACTGAAAAAATCCAAAGCAGTTCCTCTTTATATAATTAAAATTATTTGATATTCTTGAGAAATTATGTCTCTGTCGTATGAAATAACTTTTTTAAATTCTTGCCCATGACATCGAAATTTGCACGTGGTAAATACTTAATTCAATTGTTTAAATAAATATAGTAGATATTTCTAATAGAGGGTAAAGCGATGACCAAAAAGTAGTAAATCCCCATGAAAATTAAAAAGTTGTTTTATGTACGTGATTTCAAAGAAGTAGGTAGGTGCATTCTCTTTATTTTGCCCGCTTCCTCTCCCAAACAAATTTTCAAATTTTGACTGGTTTTGCAGGCAGGGAAAACCCAGCTCAAATTAGTAGAGGATATTGGCAGGAACATGAGGGAACGCATAGTTATCTTATCTTAACGGAGTTTTTTCCATTAAGATGTTTCAAACTTAAAATACTATAAGAATAAACTTACCCAGTTTTACTTCAGCATTATGAGTCAGCAGCACATTCTGACCTTTGATGTCCCGGTGAATTACTCGGTATGCGTGAAGGTGAGCTAACCCCTGTATATATTTTTTAAAAAGCCACATCAGTATATATTTATCTCTTTCCAGTACAGTTCTAGTGTTTTTGGGAAAACTTTTGATAAGAGAAACAGATTAATTCTGATGTTTCAAACACAGTTCTTTTAGACTGGAATTACTACAACCTGTTCCTAGAAATATGACTTTGGACTATAAGGGAAGGAAAACAAATCAGGACACCCACAAAAGAAAAAGAACACCAAAATAAATGTTTGTATACAGTGGGTAACTTTACCTTCATTTCTAGCCTCCATATTTCTAACTAACCTAAGAGTAAAGACCTGGACATTAAATATCATAGCTCAGCTATTATTTTGCTCTATTCCTTATCCAACCATTTGTTTAGTCCAAAATATTTTCTAGTCAGCCTTGTAGGCTGATAATTTAAGGGAATGTGGAAATTCATTTTAAACCATTTGTAATCTGTGTTGGCTTAACACTTTGGCTCTATCCCATTCACCACTAAAATTTACCCGTGACCTGGCTAACCCATGACATGGTATGCAATATTAGGTTGTAGTGAGATTGCCCCAGCTACTAGCTGGAGATTCATAATAAAGTAACAATAAAACTGCTAACATTTATTGAGCCATTATTCTTTGCTAAGGATTGTACTAAGTGCTTTACATGGAGTAAATTACTAATTCCTCACAGAAACCCTTTGAGGAAGGTGTTAAAATCACCCTCATAATATAGATGAGGAAAGTGAGCCTTGGAAAAATTAACTAATTCAAAGTTACAAAACTTATACATGGTAAACTAAATGTAAACTCAGTCTAGAGTTTGAACTCTCAACCATTTACGCTATCATCACAAGTGAATCCAACCAAAATGGTAGGAAGGACATTCTAACATTGTATGAATGGTACTGTTCAACTCTGTTAATATCCTTCTTGGATGACTTTGAGAACTTTAGTCACAAAAGATGGAATCTGATAGATCAAGAAGATTGTTGCTCTCATCAAATTGGGTGTGGAAAGTAAAGACAATTAAAATAGAAGCAGTAATCAAAGAAAATGTCTGTTTGCCAAAAGGCTGCAGAAGGGTTTGAAGCCATTCCATACAATACTGACTTCTTCTGTCTCACCTTCATCTTAACCTATGATGCTTGTACTATATTTTTGTTTAAAGAACTCTAAAATAATAATAACATAATAAATAATCCAAGTGGTTATTTCTATGATCCATTGAACACAGTAGTCAGAATCCGACAGAGGTATAAAAGGCCATGATTTCAAAGGAGCTGGTTACCCACCTGTGGACTACTTTAAAGTTTAAGGAGATCAGCTGCAAATCTGCTTTCCCAAAAGCTTTTCGGCTTTTTTAGCTATCATGATGCATAGGTTATGTTTCAAACACCTAACCTATCTGATGTGAGCAGGTATAAGATGCATTATATATATATATTACTTCCAGGTTCTTAAAATATCAGAAGAGAATGACCATACTAAGACTCACTTGAAGGATTTCTCGGCAGATATAAGCAATCCAATCTTCTTTTAACCTCTGATTTCTGGTCATTCTCACTACATCAGTGACCGAGCCTGCTGCACAGAACTCCATCACCATCTGCAGGAAAGCCAGCAAAGTATAAAAATTTAGTCTGCAATTTTCTGAAAATATCTGGAGAGTTTTAGTCCATATGGCTTGTATCTATAGGTAATGTTTAGAGATTAAGGCACTGAAAAGATGGCCTCAATTGTCTCGTGGTACACTCCAAAAGCTAGCGAAATTAGAGTTGGAGTAAACCCAAAGTTTTGTAGAGGGAGAGAAGCCAGGTATTTCACCAGAGATGTTAAACTGGGAGTTGGAGTTTGAGCTATGTCTTTAAGGATAGGCAGTGTTTGGATATGCTTAAAAGAAAAAGCATTCCGTTTATGGAAAACTAAATAAACACATGCTTTTAGGAAGATGTTTGTGAAGGGAACAAACTTAAGTGATGACTAGAATGGGAATGAAAGAATGGTCAAAAAAACAGTTTGATTGGGGGTGAAGAAGCAAAATATGGACGGTCTCAAAAGAGTTTACATTTCAACATTAAAACTAGGTTTGCTTTTTGTTGTTTTGTTTTTTATTTTCGAATTTCAAACTACTTTTCCCAAGATACTGGTAAGCTACAACTCCAAGGGGGATTTTGTCAATTGCATTCCTATGGGATAACTTCTTCTAAATGGTATTACTGCTAAGGAAAACCTATTTTAAAGCTAATATCTTTGATAATATTTCATTAAGATTTTATTGTATTAATAAACTCCATTTCTCCGAAAGTTTATTTTTGACACATATAAAGTGAGGGCCCAACTAGTAGATTTTCTTCCAGGTAATATTAGTTAGAGGAAAGACCAATGTAGAAGAGAATATACCTATCATAATTATCCCAGCAATCTTTTCCTTGAGTACAGGTTTATGTATTACTGCCCATGTCAAAAATACTTTATCAAAAGATCAAAATACCTCTTTTTATAAACTTTATGCAAACTAATTATCACCATAGATAAATGGAAGAAAAAGGATAAATCCCGAATTGTGACTATTTAAAAAGTCTAAATTACTTCCCATGAAATATTAAGATCTTCTTTTCAGAAAACTACTCCCCTAATTTATAGTTATTCACCACTGATATTATTGCATGTCTTTCACGAGTACACTTTCACCAAAAAGAAGAGGCAGCCAAACAAAACCAATACAGACAAGCCACAAAAAGTTGATTTTCACATGGAGAATTAAGCATTAACTATATTCAATGGGCACAACATGTACTCTGTGACAACTCCTCATTTTGAACCATGACAAACCAGAATTAAAGCCATTTAACTTAGATAAACCCTGGAAGATCTTGCTTATATCATGCCAGTCAGAAGAGCTCAACTATAAAAGAATGTGAGACATTCTCAATAATTTTCCTAACTTTGTAAGCATAGTGCCTGGTACATACACGTCTTTATTAATGGTCATTATTAAGCTATTTACTTATTTCCTACTTGTTTTTCTGATTTATATAGCCAAAAATTTGTGAACTGTCCCAGGAAGACTCTTTCCTTCACAAATAATTTATTCATTAAATGCTTATTGACCTTTCAGTTCTCAGTTCAAGATTTCATTCCTCAAGGAAGAGTTTCACATTTCCCAACTTAACTAAGGTTTGTTTTTCACCCACCAGGAGCCATGATATTTCCCTTCTGACAAATTAAACATTTATGTGTGTGATTATTTGATTGACACTGGTCTTTGAAAATAGATTGTAAGCACCAACGGGTCAGTAGCATGTCTATTCAGCTTACTATTTTATCCTCAGCATCTAGCACAACACCTGGCAAATAGTTTTCAATTGATATATGCTGAATGCCTGAATGAATTGAGTACCAATACATATCCAAAAAGGAGACTGCAAAAATTCTCACACTTTGCTATACTGTCAAGACGAAAAAACCTTGTAAGTGAAAATATATAAAAAGACAAATAGTGTATGCCAAAAAAATTCCTCAGTAACTAAACGATGCAGCCATATTTACTAAAATCTTGACTGAAATTGTCAGAGAACAGAGGATGCATATTAACTGTATATTTGAGAGATAACAGAGTTAAGTTGACAGTCTTTAAATTTTGTGGTTCCCAGAGTGTAGTAATCAGCCCAGCACCAGCAGCAGTGGCAGCAGCAGCAGCATCACATATTGAACTTATTAGAAAGGACAATGTATTGGACCCACACTCCCAAATCTACTGAATCAGAAATTCTGTGAGTGATGCCAGCAATTTGTGTTTTATCAGGCTTTTCAGGAGATTCTGGTGCCTGACAAAGTTAGAGAACCACTGTTTCAATTCCACCCCTTGTTGAAGACCTTTCTATATGTTCACTGTCCTGTTTTCTGAAATCCATTATTTAGAATATAATAGAATATTTCCTTGTCACTTGAGGATACCATACCACTTTAGTCATTATTTTGAAAAAAAATGCTACTAACTTGGACTGGAAATGGAAATGTGGCAAGTATAGAGATTCAAATATATACTAACACCACCTTATGTTCTAAATATTCCGTTTTTAATAAAGACATCCTTGACCAAACCTGATTTGCTTGAGATTTAACTATTTTTACCATAGTGTGGGGCATCAAAAATTCTGCTGTAGCTTAAGTAGTATAAGTTCCAGTTAGCCTCTATGATTTATATCTTATTGATTTAGAATTTGTGACACTCCAGGCATAATGACTAAAAAAAGGATAAGTCAACTTACCATTTGGAAAATATTTTCTTAGGAGTTATGTTTATCCATAAGGGCATATACTTTGCAAAAACTTAAAATGCACTCATTTGCTTATGCCAAGTGCTAATTAGAATTAATCCTTGTCCAGTCATTACTTATTAGTTTATCAGGTAATCACCATAATAGCTACCATAGTAACTACATAAAATATTTGAAAATATTCATGTTAGATATTTCCAGTATTCATTTGAGTCCTCCCTCATCCCACCAGTAAACCCCTTGTCAGACACATAAGATATTTTCCCATATTTTATTACTCCTGTCTCCAGGAATCAGAGTTTGTTTTGCCACATGATATGGATTGGCTGTTTCTCACCCAAATCTCATCTTGAATGATAGCTCCCATAATTCCTATATGCCATGGGAGGGACATGGTGGGAGGTAATTGAATCATGGGGGCAGGTCTTTCCCTTGTTGTTCTAGTGATAGTGAATAAGCCTCATGAGATCTGAGATTAATGGTTTTATAAAGGGGAATACCCCTGCACATGTAAGACATTACTTTGCTCCTCCTTTGCTTTCCACCATGATTGTGAGGCCTCCCTAAACATATGGAATTGTGTCAATTAAACCATTTTTCTTTATAAATTACCCAGTCTCTGGTGTGTCTTTATGAGCAGCATGAGAACAGACTAACACAGTAAATTGGTATCAGTAGAGTAAATTGGGGCACTACTGTAAAGATACCTGAAAATGTGGAAACGACTTTGAAACTGGGTAACAGGCAAACGTTGGAACAATTTGGAGGGCTCAGGAAAAGACAGGAAGATGTGGGAAAGTTTGCAATTTCCTAGAGACTTGTTGAATGACTTTGGCTAAAGTGCTGATAGTGATATGGACAATAAGGTCCAGGCTGAGGTGGTCTCAGATGGAGATAAGGAATTTGTTGGAAACTGGAGCAAAGTTGATTATTGTTATGTTTTAGCAAAGGGATTGACAGCATTTTGACCCTGCCCTAGAGATCTGTGGAACTTTGAACTTGAGAGAGATAATTCAGGGTATCTGGCAGAAGAAATCTCTAAGTGGCAAAGGGTTCAAGAGGAAGCAGAGCATAGAAGTTTCAAAAATTTGCAGCCTGATGATGCAGTGGGAAAGAAAAACCCATTTTCTGAGGAGAAATTAGAGCCAGATGCAGAAATTTGCAAAAGTAACAAGGAGCCAAATGTTAATCACCAAGACAATGGGGAAATGTCTCCAGAGCATGTCAGAGATCTTCACAGCAGGCCCTGCCAGCACAGCCTCGGAGGCCTAGGAGGAAAAAAAAACGGTTTCATGGGCCAGGTCCAGGGCCCTCTTGCTGTGTGCAGCCTAGGGATTGGCATCCTGTGTCCCATCCACTCCAGCCATGGCTAAAAGGGGCCAAGGTACAGCTCGGGCTATAGTTTAGAGGGTGCAGGCCCCAAGCCTTGGCAGCTTCCACATGGTGTCAAGCCTACAGATGCACCGAAGTCAAGACTTGAGGTTTAGGAGCTTCCGCCTAGATTTCAGAAGATGTAGGGAAATTCCTGAATGTCCAGGCAGAAGTTTGCTGCAGGGGCTGGGTCCTCATGGAAAATTTCTGCTGAGGCAGTACAGAAGGGAAATGTGAGGTTGGAGCCCCCACACAGAATCACCACCAGGGCACTGCCTGGTGGAGTTGTGAGAAGAGGGCCACCATCCTCCAGAACCCAGAATGGTAGATCCACGAACAGCTTTCACCATGTGCCTGGAATAGCCACAGACACTGAATGTCAGCCCATGAAATCAGTCAGGAGGAAGGCTGTACCCTGCAAAGCCACACGAACAGAGCTGCCCAAGACCATGGCAACCCACCTCTTATATTTGTGTGACCTGGATGTGAGATATGGAGTCAAAGGGGATCATTTCGGAGCTTTAAGATTTGATTTCCCTGATGGATTTTGGACTTGCATGGGACCTGGAGCCTTTTTGTTTTGGCCAATTTCTCCCATTTGGAGCAGGCATATTTACCCAATACCTATACCCCCATTGTATCTAGAGTAACTAACATGCTTTGGATTTTACAGGCTCATAGATAGAAGGGACTTGCCTTGTCTTAGATCAGAATTTGGACTGTAGACTTTTGAGTTAATGCTGAAACGAGCTAACGCTTTGGGGGACTGTTGGGAAGGCATCATTGGTTCTGAAATGTGAAGAGATGAGATTTGGGAGTGGCCAGGGATGAAATTATATGTTTTGGCACTGTGTCCCCACCCAAATCTCTTGAATTGTAGCTCCCATAATTCACACATGTCATGGGAGGGGCCCAGTGAGAGGTCACTGAATCTTGAGAGCAGGTCTTTCCATGTTGCTCTCATGACAGTGAATAAGTTCACAAGATCTGATTGTTTTATAATGGAGCATTCCCTGAATATGCTCTCTTGCCTGCTGACATGCAAGACATGACTTTGCCTTCTGCCATGATTGTGAGGCCTCTTCAGTCATGTAAATCTGTGAGTCAATTAAATTATCTTTCCTTTATAAATTACCCAGTCTCAGATATGCTAATGGCAAAAACCGCAATTACTTTTGAACCAACCTAATAGCATTGTGAGAACAGATTCATACACCATACTACGTTAACAGTTGTGTGCTAAGTTTTCCTGTAGATTCACAAAAGTGACAACTCATGAAAACATACATCCTTGGGTAAAACTCATTCTTACAGAATAAGAACAGTGTGATTAAAAACATACCCAAAGTTGGTGCCTCTGACCAGGGGGACTCAGCTTGAAAAATGCACCATAGAAGGACACAATATTTTTGTGGAAAGAGTACTTCCTCAGAAGGTTGAGTTCAGTCCTGAGATCCTCTTCCTCATCCTATGGAATAAGAATAGACAGCAAAGCTCCTAGGCTGTGCAATCAATGACTATGTGCAATCAATGACTGTCAAGGAAGAAGAATCCTATGGTAACCAATTATGCCCAACAGCAATTTATAATAAACTCTCAACTAAAATTGTCAGTGAATGAAGATCTCTGGTTAACTTGGAATTTGGGGGAATAAAAAAGATAAACTGAAAACTTTTTAGTTCTGTGGTTCTCAAGGTATGGTCCCTGGACCAGCAGCACTGGCCACTGTATAAAGTTTTCACTGAGTTGAGTCACTATATTGTTGTCTGTTTTACAACAGTTGTATTGAGATATAATTCACATATTATAAAATACACCATTTAAAGGCAAATGCAATGGTTTTAGTATATTTATAAAGTTGTGCAATTATCACCATAATCAGTTTTTGAACATTTTTATCACTCCAAAAGGAAACCCCATATCCTTTAGTTATCATCTCTCAGTTCTGCCACGCACACACACTCCAACTCTAAGAAATCACTAATCCACTTTATGTCTCAATACATTTATCAATTCTGGACATTCTATATAAATGAAATCATATAACATGGTCTTTCGTGAGAAGCTCTTTTCAAAGTTCATCCATATTGTAGCATGTAACAATACGTTATTGCTTTTCATCAAGTGAGGGACATTTGGGCTATTTCTACCATTTAGGTATTATGAATAATGCTTCTATAAATGGTCATCTCAAGTAACTCTATATTTAATGTTTTGATGAAATGAAAAACTATCTCCCACATTGGCTTTTACCATTTTGCATTACCAAGAGCAATGCATGAGGGGGTTTCACTTTCTCTATACGATCATCAACACTGGTTATTTTCTGTTTTATTATTATAACCATTCTAGTGGGTGTGAAGTGGTGTTTCATTGTGGTTTTAATTTGCAATTCCCTGATGACTAATGATGTTGAGCATCTTTTTATGTGCCTATTGCCCGTTATATATGTTCTTTGAGAAATGTCTAACAAAAAATCATTTTTCCTTTTAAAAACTGGATTGTCTTTTTATTAGTGAATCATCAGAGTTCTTCATATATTTTAGATATTTTAGTGCCTTATCAGATATACAACTTGTGAATATTTTCTCTGATTCTGTATATTGTTTTCTCACTGTCTTGAATAGTGACCTTTGAAGAACAAAAGTTTTTATTTTAATGAAGTACAATTTATAAATTTGCTGTTTTGTTGCTTGTACTTTTGGTGTCATATATAAGCATCCATTGTCAAATCAAAGGTCACAAAGTTTTATCCTTATTTTTTCTTCTAAGCGTTTTATAGTTTTAGCTTTTATATTTAGGTGTTCAATCCATTTTGAGTTAATTTTTATATAAAGTAAAAGTCCAATTTCATTATTTTGCATGTGGATGGCCAGTACCACACTATCTTGATTATTTGGTAATCCTTTACATTTTAAAGGTATTGGTTTGTTCTGTGCTGATCTTTTAAAAAACCAGATATTATTTTTTCACATTTTATGTATTTATTTTTATTTTTAAAAGCTATGTTTAAAATAATTTATTTTTTCTTAATCACAACAGTGGTACATGCATAATAAAATTTAGATAAATATACTAATAAAATATGTAAGGGGTCTACTTTCACTGAACATTTTCCCCAACCATAATGGCTTAGTGTACATTCTTTCAGACATTTGTATATGTTAATCAGTGGCTAGAGCTATGACAGAGATAAATGGATAATGATATAATCAACACACACACACATATATGACATTTAAAAAATATATATATATATGGCATTTAAAAATCAAAATAAGCTCATATTATTTTCACTATTCTGCAACTTTCATGTTTTAATCAGTATATAAAGTACACCTTTCAATATCAATAAACAAATGCACATCCTTCTTATGGCTGCACAAGATTGCACAGAATGGGGATATGGGTCCAGCACTTAGGGGACAAGTCAGGTGTAGAAGTACTGTTGTTGAGAATTATCTATGCAGTGATAATTGGAGCCATCTAGTTGGATGAGATCACTGATGTATAATACATAGCTTCAAGACAGCTCTAGCAGAAGACAGTGTGATGTCAATCAGAAAAGAACACCTACTCTGGGCATTAGGACACTGAGGTTTAGCACTGATAGCCCAGAGTAGGAAATTCACTTAATCTTCCTAAAGTTCAATTTATTGTTTTAAAAAAATGATGGAAGATAGCAGCAGTTACCTATCTTCATGGAATGTTAGTGAAACCAAATGGGATAATATAAATAAATTTCTTTGAAATCTTTGGAAAAATAATTATATAAATGCAATGCATTATCATAAAATATCATCGTGACTTTACTTCTTTGACTTACTCCAAGTGCAATCAGAACTATACACTTCCCTCCACTGTTTAATCTGCAAACATCAGCTTCCTTCATTCCCAGCATATTAATGATAGTGAAATGAAATAGCAATTCTCTCTAAGTTTCAGTGATGTCTGCTTATACCATGATAGCCAAGTGGTTTTGATATTCCTTCTGTAACTCTTATTTCTCAGTCAATCTAGAAAAAGCTCTTTGCTTCTTAATTATTTGAAAATAGTTACACTTTTGTGTATACAGATGCAATGTATTTGAGAAAAATACCTTAAAATATTAACTTATAAAAAGGCAACAAATTGTTAAAAATTTTCAGTGAAAATATAATTGGTTTGTGCATTTAGGTGTTATAGTCCTAGCTTAAAAGAAATGACTCATCCGGAAATAAGATTCACATATATGAATGACACAACCAATGGTGAATACAAAATAGTGGATAATAAACTTGAAGGCGATGTGAGATGACTCAGGAAGTAATTCTGCACTTGAAAAATGGATTCCTTGCTGGGATCCTTTGAATTCCTAGTAGCTTTAAATTCTATTTGATTGTAAATTAAAAAGCTCTCTTATTTCATCTATAATAATTCAATTTATAAAAACTATTAAGAAGTATTGTTATTGCCCAAAGTGAAATATATCTGTAGAATGTAAAGAAAAGAAGACTTTGGGACGGGCACAGTGGCTCATGCCTGTAATCTCAGTACTCTGGGAGGCTGAGGCAGGTGGATTACTTGAGATCAGGAGTTCGAGACCAGCCTAGCCAACATGGTGAAGCCCCATTTCTATTAAAAATACAAAAATTAGTCAAGCATGGTGGTAGATGCCTGTAATCCCAGCTACTCGGGAGGCTTAGGCAGGAGAGCCACTTGAACCCAGAAAGCCAAGATTGCACCACTGCAGCCCAGCCTGGGCAACAGAGCGAGACCGTGTCTCAAGAAGAAAAAAAGACTTTTGAATTAAAAATATAAAGACTTCCTGTTCTAAAACCCAGTGAAAAAAGATACCTTTAACTCTTTTGGGCAATGGCCTAGGAAAGGAACAACTGACATGGAAAACAGTTAAGGGATTAATCACCAGTTATCTAGTTCTCACCAGCATTTTCCTCACACTATCCTGACCTAATGACCCCGTGATCTAGGGAAATAAATCTCTTAGCTGAAATGAATAGATAACTACACATATCTACTCAGTTATTGCCTTCTCTCTTATGTTATTCTCTAAGACTCAGCAGGAAAAATAGGCAACTACTTTCTATATTTAGGTATGATGTGGCTAGGCTTTAAAAATACGACATAAATATAAAGCAATGCACTAGGCTTTGTAGTGTTTCTAAGTTGATTTAATTTTTACTTATAAATTATCATTCCTCCCCTTAAATGCCCAGGATTTATAACATACCTTGTAAAAAATAGTTTGCAATGTCAGAGAAATGGCTGGCAGTTGCAGAACATTCGTTAAGATTTTCCAGTGGATTTTCCTACAAACATTAAACTACTAGAAAATAAATCTCTAGACACCTATTTGTCTTATGGGGGAAGGGGATGAGTCCTGATCTGTGCTGTTGAAAATCTCAATGACAAGTTACCTCTTTCTATTTTTCTGTGTAATAAAGGAGTGACAACTTATGGTATGAGAATTGCATGAAAGTTCAGGCTAGAGTCTCATACCAGTCTCCCAGCAAAGTTCAGTTAATAAGTTCCCTTCAAATTATCTTAACCTGTTTTCTAGAAAGGTAAAAATCCAGTGGCTTTCATTCTTGTCATGTAAGATCCTTAAACTTTCTGCTTCCCCTGTGATGTGCCCCCCGCTTTGAAATGGTAACAATATCTGACACCACATAGGACTAGCAAACCACAAGGACTAGCTATTCTTTATGTACGTGGGCATTCTCAGTTTCGATTCAGTTGCCAAGGTTCTGCTGAGAGAAATATGAACTCATAAGTAGTGCAATACTTATGAGGAATAGGAATGAGAGGATGTTAGGAGGTTAAGAATACAAAGAACAAGTCAAAGAGAAGCAGGGGCAAGACTGAATCCTTTCACCGGCTTGGTAGCTTAATTCCTTTTCTTTTTGGGTTAGAAAGTTTATGTGCTTTTTGGCTATTTAGTTGTAGACTTGGGATTTCAACTCATGTTTCTGGATTTCCATATTATTGCTATTACCATAACCCCCTGGCGTCTAAGAGATGTGTGTGCAAGTCACATAATTTTTATCCCAAAGGATATAAGATGATTTAGAGATGCTAACTGGATGATTAACTCCCGTTATTTTTTCTTACTAAAATATATAATCAGAGAATTCAAAGTTCTTGACTAGGAAAACGTTTTAAGGGTTTCTCACATAAATGTAAACTTCCCCAAAACAAAAAAATGAAGATCAGATATGTTTGGAAAGCATTAGTGTGTTTGCCACTCTGAATTAACAGGAAGCTGAGCTTGTGAGAAACACATAAGTACATTATATCCATCAGGCCAAGTGAGTAATTTAAAACTCTCACACATCTTCCAGTAATACGATGCTACAGCATTTCCTGGCTTAGGGCCAGTTGATCGCAGACTGGCCTGAATACCCTGCGTTTTGTCAAGAAGAGGCAGCTCAAGGATGTCAGAATTTCCTTTGTAATTTCACCCAATTCTAGAATTAAAATCCTTTTCTTTAAGGAAAGAGTGCCAGAGAGGGCTTGGGATAGATCTTTAAAGAAGTTTTATTAGCACAAATGTGTGATGAAACCAGAATTAATGAAAATAGTTATATTTTTCCATACCTTACCTTTCATGGTTTCCTAAGCTACAAAAGCATGATACTATTTGTTTTATCTGGTCCTTTGGATATGCTTAGTCTCCTAGCATGCATTATGAACACAACAGGAGCCTAGTACTTAATATATGAGTCATGAGGGTGTTTGGCAATATCTTTCTAATATAACTAGAAAGTTCCTGAATGTGATTGTGTTACTTGAAAGGGTTATTTTTAATGTGCCTGAGAACATATTTACTAAGTCACAAAATGCTAGAAATATTTGAATCCCATGTAGAGCTGACTGCAGGATAGAAAATTAGGAAAAAAATATATCAATTCAATATATTGATAATAACAGAAATTCAACTTTTGGGCCCATACAATATTTTATATATCACCAAGAGATACTGAAAAAGAGGATTTATCTTTGCTTGGTTTTATTCTTGATCCAGAGAATTGTTAGTATCAGAAAAATTGCTTTGAAGGGAAGTCAAAACACTGCACATAGAAAACATGTTCATATTCCTTCATGTGTTCAAATATGGTACCAGATGTCTGAAGACTTTGAGCTGAGTGGTCGATTTGCTTTCTGCCTGCTATTGCTCTTACAAAAAAAGTGGGGACATTCTTCATTTGGTTCAAACACAATGGTAATGGTTGTTAGAATCATAATGGAGAAAAAGAGATTCAATAATCATATATGAGCACTAGCATATATCAGAGAGTAGATCATAGGAGAAAAGATCCCTTGAGTAGGGATGTTTTGATTGTAGGTGAGGAATTGAATGCCATGATAAATATGTGAAAAACCCCTTGCCAAGGCCAATTTTAGACAAAATTTGTTGCAGGTCTCATTACTTCCTTTTTTGTTGCTCTTCAGCCAGAGGGCTCTATGCTCTGTAAATTTATTCAATTCCTCACCTATGGTGCATACATTCCTACTCAAGGGACCTTATCTCCTAATGTCCTACTCTCTGATACAGGCTAGTGCTCATATAAGATGATTGAATCATTGTGAATATATTAAAAGATAGAAATATGTTATCATTTTCAGGAAAGAACACTTTAGTAGCAGTCTTCTAGAGATAATGACACAATGCAAAGGGATAAGTTAAAAGCTGAAAATGAAAGGAAAGACTACTTGGATATTAATGAGAACTTTTAGTACTCACGCTGTATCTCCACCCAACAGATTTTTGATATTTATTCACTCTCACTCTCCTTCCTATTTCAGGTAAAGGGGTCTGTAACCAAGAATGAAATGTTATTAGACGTACTGGTACACTCTAAAAATGATTTATGCTTAACTACTTTAAACTCCTTTAGCACTAAATGGAAGAATAAGATAAAACTATTCCTCTTTCATTCTCACTAATAGTTTCAACTTAAAAAATCAAATTTTTATGATATACAGAAATTTGACAACAAATTCGTGATAGTAGACTTAATTGCTGTAATAATTGGAAAATCACAATTTGATATCAATAAAGGCTTTTTCCTCCTTACAAAACCAGTTAATTGACACTAAACACCCATGGATTAAACATGGTTTTTAAATATTTTAGAAGTCAGAGTATCTGAAATGTAGGTTAAATGTATGTCAAGGTTTATTAAAACAAGAAAATAAACATTTTAGAGAGCCTCACTCAAAAAGTAGAAGTTTGATTATTTGGAAACCATGGATTGTAGGTCAAAATAAATCTACAAAATCTCAAAATCCCTCGAAATTCACAGTGGTTTGCAACATTTGATATTTACTGGCAAAACAAAAACCAGACAACTTTTTTAAAAATATCACCTATCTTTTCTTTTTTAAAATTATAATTTAAGTTCTAGTGTAGATATGCAGAATGTGCAGGTTTTTTACATAGGTGTACATGTGCCATGAAAGTACACAATTCTTTAAATAGCTTCAGCAATTCACTTCCTGCACAAATTGGAAAAAGAACAGTTCATGGCATTGACAATAGTTCAGTGACTGTGTATAGCTTTTCAAACATAAATTTCCCTTTAGCTTATAATGAAGTAAAATTTTTTTGACCTTTGCTATGTTCATGCTAATATTATCTTGACAAAGTATGGTATTCATGTTAAAGAAAAAGGCCAGAAAGCAGTGCTAGCAAATTCTATGACAATATGTTCTGAACCGTGACACAGCTTCATGAATGTTATCAGGAATGGTGCCAATTAAACTGCCTCTTTTGCTCATCTGTCAGAAAATATATGAAAAATGTGCATCTCTGATAAATTTCTTCCTTCTACCTGTCATTGAGAATCGAATGGCCTCAATTCTCAGAGGAAATCATTGGAGAGGGAAAATAATATAATGGAACACAGAGGGATTAACCCAACATTAGAGGTAATCTCTTTTTTGCTATCCCTGGAAACAAATAACCAACTAGAAACAGAGAGGAATACAGATATCTTCCTTACTGTTATAGCATACGAAAATATGTGGAATGTCTGCTGTGAATGAAGCATTGTTTTACGTGGATATATAGTAAAGCAATTGATATAATACACTAATGAATACAAATAATATTAAAACATGACTACGATAAATCCAAAGTAATATAATTATTATATAATATAATGTTTTTAAAACAAATACAATATTTTCTGAGCTGTTTATCCAAAGAACACAGTCTGCTAAGGGAAGAGAATACAGGCAAGTTATAATACTACCTTACGAGCATTCATCACTTTAACAGCGGTAAATGCACCAGTCTTCTCATGAAGTCCCTGAAATACAGGATAGTGATAAACATCAAATGCTGTTTAGGTAATTCAGCTATCAATAAGCAATCAAACTAGAAAGTATTAAAAATTAAAGTTGAATACACTATATGTTTTGAAATATAAAATATATACAGATGAAATATATGGTATTTTATAGAAAACAAAAATATTAAGTTATCAACATTTTAAAGAAATCACCATTAAGGGATGTTATGGAACACTTTGCTTTTTTATGTCTGTAGTAACTAGTGGACATAATTGCCTAAAGTTATTGCTTACTTAGTGTCTTTAATCTAGGTTTGCATGGCACGAAAGCATTCAGATTAAAAGTGAAAATGTTCTATTGAAGATGGAAAAAAGGAGTTGTTCTACTAAACATTTTTTTTCAATTGATTATGTAGTACTATGCAGACCTCTTTCCACTGGATTCTTCTTCACACATAAAATATTTGGTATGTTAGCAAAAATATTAGCCATACGTAATCTCCATAATGATCACTAGTAAGAGTGATTCATAATTAATTCAACAGCTTCTAAACTGATTAACGTGTCCTGAATCATACGGACCAAAAATATTTTTAAAAGAATAAGTTCTAGAAAATCCTCTCTTATTGAAAAGATGATGAGTTATAAGAGCTTAGTCTTATCCTAAATGCAAGTATAAGCTATAGATTTGTAATTTTTAAAGGAGAACATATAGGTTTGGAATCAGATTTCCTATTTTGTGGCTGGTACCTTCTAAATATATTCCAAATTGTACTCATAGAAAAAAAAATCAGTATAGCATTACTATGTGTAATCAACAGAATGTCTTATCTGATGGTTCTCAACAGAAAGTTTAATTTGGGGACTGTACTGTGTTGAACAGTGTCCCCCACCCTCCAAAACTGAGATTCACCTGAAACCTCAAAATGTGACCTTATTTGGAAACAGGGTCTTTGCAGATGCAATCAAACTAAAATGAGGTCATAATGGATTTGTTTGGTCAATGTCTAGTTTCTTTATAAGATGAAAGGGCCGGGCTCGGTGGCTCTCGCCTGTAATCCCAGCACTTTGGGAGGCCGAGGCGGGTGGATCACGAGGTCAAGAGATCGAGACAATCCTGGTCAACATGGTGAAACCCCGTCTCTACCAAAAATACAAAAAATTAGCTGGGCATGGTGGTGCGTGCCTGTGATCCCAGCTACTCAGGAGGCTGAGGCGGGAGAATTGCCTGAACCCAGGAGGCGGAGGTTGCAGTGAGCCGGTATCGTGCCATTGCACTCCAGCCTGGGTAACAAGAGCGAAACTCAGTCTCAAAAAAAAAAAAAAAGATGAAAGGACGGGAGATTTGAACACAGTGACACAAAGATACACAAAGGGGTGATAGCCATGTAAAAGATAAGAAGAAATTGCAGTGATACAACTACAAGCCAAGGATTGTTGATAATACCAGAACCCAAGAAGAGGCAAGGAACGGTTCCATCCTAGAAACTTCACAGAGAGAGAATGGCCCAGCAGACACCTCAATTTCAGAATTCTTATGTCTAAAATTTTAAGGGAATACTTTTCATTTGTTTTAAGCCATCCAGTTGTTGCAATTTTTTACAGCAGACCTAAGAAACTAGTACACAAGGCAAAAAAGATGAAAACTGAGCAAGGTAATGTGTTTAACTTGGGAAAGGGTTCAGAGAATAGTAATCAAGGTACAAGGATATGTCCAGAATCCGATGAGCAATTTAGGGTGGAGTATGCCAACCACAAGGAAAAATTACAGGTTATTGATTGATCAGGGAAAAATAGGAATCCAACATCGAGACCTGTCTGTTTAACCCAAAGACTTGGGAAACAAATGCAAAGGCAAAATCAGGTTTACTTGAGAAGGGGAAATGAGCCAGAGTTTCTAAGATCAATCCATGAAGTAATACTATCAGGTTCTAGGAACAATCTTATCCTTTATCAGACAACAATCATTATTTTTGCAACCTTTTTAGCCTCTTTTAAATTTTTCAAAAGAACATGAGCTTGCGTTATCTTCTGTCACTTGTCTTAATTGGAGCAGCCTGTTTGGATGGAGTCAGATTACTTTTGTTGGACAGTTATAATAAAACAGTTTTAAACTGTTCTTTTTTGTAAGATTATACTGACAATTGAACTTTAACCGAGTTTATAAAAATTATTGAGTATGTTGGATACTCTTCAGATGTATTTACATCTCTGGGAAAATTATATATTAATATTTTGATTTATTAAGTCCTAGTAACTTAGAAAGCATTGTTTTCATAATCATTCACACAAACACTTCCTAGTACATTTTTTCCCACACCTCTGTGCACAAATGCAACATGTTGGAAATTGATTCCCACACATCCCTTTAGAAACTTACAATGTTTCCTTCCTTGATTCTAAGAGATTATTTATGAGTCAAGTATTATTTCGTGCAAAATATTTAGCAAGTTATCAAAAATATAGCCATACATTATCTGATTTAACTGATCATCAGTAAAATACAAAATTTTTAAAGTGTAAAATCTATAGGCATCATACTATGACACTTTAGTGAGATAACTGAATGTTATTAAAAGATTCTAACCATGGCCATAGAACTGAAAAAAAAATCAGCTTGGTTATACTTCCATCATCTGTGATTGATTTGCACTTGAAAATTGTGCAGATTTTGTTAGACAATGTACTCTAACATTGAGTTTGAAAAATGTGCTCACTAAACCTACGGAGGAATAAAACTCCAGGACTTGGAACCATGTATTGAGTTAATATGCCAAACCATTATACAAGCTTCCATAGAAGTCTGGCATGTACAGACAACAGATCATAGAAATTTGCTGCCATTAAGATAGCATTTCACAGATATCCCCCTGTACCTTGACTCTTCAAAAATTTTATTTTGAAATAATTTTAGACTTGTAGAGTAGTCTCAAGATAGCACAGAGGGTGCCTGCATATTCTTTCCCCAGAGTTTTCTAATGTTAACTTCTTATATGGCCATGGTACATGGTCAAAATGAAGAAATTAATATTGGTAAGATACTCTTAACTCAATTAAAAAATATTTTCTGATTTCCCAGGTTTCTCACTAATGTTCTCTTTCTAGGACCAAATCGGATCATACATTCCATTTAGCTATCATGCCTCCTTAGACTTCTCCAATCTGTGACAAGTCCTCGGTCTTTCCTGTTTATCATAACTCTGACAGTTTAAAAAGTATTTGTCTATATCTCTGTTTTGGTACCAGTACAATGCTGTTTTGATTACTGTAGCCTTGTAGTATAGTTTGAAGTCTGGTAGTGTGATGCCTCCAGCTGTGTTCCTTTCACTTAGAATTGACTTGGCTATGCGGGCTCTCTTGTGGTTCCATATGAAGTTTAAGGTGGTTTCTTCCAGTTCTGTGAAGAAGGTCATTGGTAGCTTGATGGGGATAGCATTGAATCTGTAAATTACTTTGGGCAGTATGGACATTTTCATGATATTGATTCTTCCTAACCATGAACATGGAATGTTTCTCCATCTGTTTGTGTCCTCTCTTATTTCATTGAGCAGCGGTTTGTAGTTCTCCTTGAAGAGGTCCTTTATGTTCCTTGTTAGTTGTATTCCCTGTTTAATAAATGGTGTTGGGAAAACTGGCTAGCTATAAAGCAGAAACTGGACCCCTTCCTGACACCTTACACTAAAATTAACTCCAGATGGATTAAAGACTTAAACATAAGACCTAACACCATAAAACCGTAGAAGAAAATCTAGGCAAAACCATTCAGGACATGGGAGTAGGCAAGGACTTCATGACCAAAACACCAAAAGCATTGGCAACAAAAGCCAAAATAGACAAATGGGACCTAATCAAACTCCACAGCTTCTGCATGGCAAAGGAAACAGTCATTAGAGTGAATCGGCAACCAACAGAATGGGAAAAAATTTTTGCAGTTTACCCATCTGACAAAGGGCTGATATCCAGAATTTACAAAGAACTCAAATAGATTTACAGGAAAAAAACAAGCCCATTCAAAAGTGGGCAAAGGATATGAACAGACACTTTACGAAAGAAGACATACGTGAGGCCAACAGACATATGAAAAAATGCTCATCAACACTGGTCATCAGAGAAATGCAAATCAAAACTACATTGAGATACCATCTCACGCCAGTTAGAATGTTGATCATTAAAAAATCTGGAGACAACAGATGCTGGAGGGGATGTGGAGAAATAGGAACACTTTTACAATGCTGGTGGGAGTGTAAATTAGTTCAACCATTCTGGAAGACAGTGTGGCGATTCCTCAAGGACCTAGAAATAGAAATTCCATTTGACCCAGCAATCCCATTACTGGGTATATATCTGAAGGACTATAAATCATTCTACTATAAGGACACATGCACACGAATGTTCACTGAAACACTGTTTACAATAGCAAAGACCTGGAATCAACCCAAATGCCCATAGACAATAGACTGGACAGGGAAAATGTGGCACATATACACCATGGAATATTATGCAGCAATCAAAAATGATGAGTTTGTGCCCTTTATAGGGACATGGATGAACCTGGAGACCACCATTCTCAGCAAACTGACACAAGAACAGAAAATGAAATACCGCATGTTCTCACTCATTGGCGGGTGTTGAACAATGAGAACACATGGACACAGGGAGGGGAGCACCACACACTGGGGTCTGTCTGGGGGAATAGGGGAGGGGCGGTGGGGAGTGGGGAGCTGGGGAGATACAGCATGGGGAGAAATGCCAGATATAGCTGAAGGAGAGGAAGACAGCAAATCACACTGCCACGTGTGTACCTATGCAACCATGTTGCATGTTCTTCACATGTACCCCAAAACCTAAAATGCAATAAAATAAATAAATAAATAAGTATTCGTCAAACATTTTGTAGAATATCCCTCAACTTGGGTTTTGCTGATGTTTTCTTATGATTAGATCGAGGTTATGAATTTTTGGGAAGAACATTACAGAAGTGAAACGCCCTTTTTATCACATCATTTCAGGGAAACATG